ATCTTTATGACTCCCCCAGTATCAGTAATAATTAATTAATTTTACTCTAAACCGTAGATCAAAACGATTTTTCTAGAACAACAAAATTCCGCTCTCTCGGCCGTTTGCAATCAATGCCTTAGGCAAAAATATGGTAAAACTTAATGGACAGATAAGATGTAATAAGTAATGGGACAAAAACAGGAAGGGTACTGTAGCAGAGGAATAACAATAATATTTACTGCGATGATTGATTGTGGTTAATCAATCATTTTTGAAGACAACTATAATTTAAAAATTTGCATAAGTTTTAAAATAGAAAAATTAAAAAAAATAAAAAATGTTCGAACTTATTTTTGAAAAAGTATAATATGCTCAAAAAAATTAAACCCAACTTTAAAAGTTTTAAAACCTACCATTTTGCAGATTTAGAAAATACAGTAAGTATCAATAAAAGTCATCTAAAATACAGTAAGAATAGAAATAAAGGCAAGAGAAAGAGTAGGATGACATTGCCAAAACACAACTGTAAAGCCTTGTCGTGATAGTTCGTGTTTGTTTTTTCAATGTTTGGTCATTGAAGTTAGCCATACCCTTTATTGTGAAACTCTTAGGCGGAGCAACTTTTCGTATTCACAAGTGTCAAGATACGGCTGCAATGTTGTTGTACCCTTATGCGTTAAAGTTCATACGACTTTTAGATACATTAGGCTTTAAAATGCTGCGACCGAGTTACTTTTTGCATATTGTCGCTGCTTTGACTATAAAAATTAGTATTTCTACAGTATGCCTATATGTTAATTTAGGTAGGTTAATATACCTATAGTATCCTGTCTTATGTAGTAATCCAAATTTCATAACCCAATATATCTGATTTCTACATTAATCCTACACTTCTTACATTGCTACACCTACACTTTTTTATGACAAAAACTATTTGCGACACTTTTTTCAACCCTATGTTACTGTTTAAACACCAAAAACGCAACGGTCCACTTTGTTATTGTCGGTTATCAACGAAAGGTGCTTCTGCAAAACAAAGAAAAGTATGAAACACACATGGCAATCACACCATCTTTAAAATTCAGATTACACCATAAGGCAATGTTTTCTGCTCCAAGGTCGCTGCAATGACTTTTGCACTAAAAAGTAACGTTAAAAGTTCTAGAACAAAGATAAAACATTGTTGTTCAAGATGTTTATTGACTAATGTCCAAAAGACTTGGGATAGTTTTTGATAACATAACCCTAACTACAAAGGATTGGAATGTTGTGTTATGTTACAATAACAAGATAGTATATACAATAACAATACGAGAGAATACAGTTGTGAACAGCGAAAAATACAATAAGAAGTAAGACTTAAATAAAGAAAATGAACAAAACACTAAAAGAAGTACATAAAGAAAAAAGAATTACATCTTCTATAAGATTCATCTATAATATACAGATAACATTTTTATTTGTTAAAGTCCCAAGTTTAATAACCCATCACCATCTATCCCAATCTCCCCTCCTTTGCCATGCACTGATCGTTGAGTTCAAAAAGGTTAATATTAACGTAAAAGTACAAAACATTAAGTTTAAACAGTTAATTGCAAACATTTTAACCAAAAACTGTATTTTTTTATAAAAATATTTGCAAAGCCGTCTATCTATTACAACAAGACTAATGGTGCGGGTGTTCCCTTTGAATTACAAAAGATCTGTACTTTAATTCATAAAAAGTAATGCGCAGTCAAGCATTGATTTCAAAAAAGTGTAAATCTACCCAATTCGTAAAACTAAAATTTTAAAAACCCCATATTTTTACTATGATTTCACTTTATGTAACTTTTATGTAAATAAAGTAGCCACAACGCTTTTCCTTGCCATATTAAAGTGCAAAATTGGAATAAAATTTTTAAGTTTTTATAGTGTAAAATTCAATTTCAAACTACATATTTACATGTACTCTTCTTATCACAACTATCTTGCACTCAATATATAAATAAAGTCCTCGATACATCTTGTCGATTAGATTCAAAGATCACTGTTACTATACACGTGTAACGCGTATGCTTCTAAACGATCAAACAACTTTAGGCTTCTAGAAGGTTTTTAATGAAAACGATTATTATCGTTATCGTTGACTTTTAAAAGATACGTTACCTTGACATTCAGAACAATAACAATATGTCTGGCGACGCTATCAATAAAAGTGCTGATTTAAATCAGCAATCTTTTCAAGGTTTTTGACAGTGAAATTTAAATAAATATTAAAAAATTAGCATAAAAAACGTATTAAAATATACTTTATAGTATTTTACATATATGTGAAAAATCTACATATATGTTAATGAACACGCGCTAAAAAATGACATAAAACATTTAATTTATGCCATAAACAAGATAGTGATATATTGCTTAGTATGACGACAGAAACCACCCTATATTTACACTTTTTGAGTAATTTACTTCTTACTTTACTGTGTCTAATCCAAAGTTTACAGTTCTACGGTCGTTACAACTATTTTTTACGTTTGTTTTTATTACTCCTTTTATCGTATAAATGTTTCCTTATTTTAAAGTTACTTTACAGCCTTTTTATTACTTTTAACGGTGATATAATAGCGCAAAATACCTTATATTGTTAACCAAAAAATTTTTAAAAAGTCTTTAAAATTTTGAAAGCAGTACAAGCTTGTGAGTAAAGTTACAAGTGCATACTTCAACACCTTTTTTCAAGTGTAAAGCATAAAGTTATTGCAAAAACAAGCGCTCAAAATTTACACTGTAATAAAGAGTAGGTAACGTCATGATGAATTAAACTTTTAATCAAAATTGAAAGCTCAAAACAAAGTAAACGGTACCTCAACCGAAAGTAAGATATCAAGTTTTCTGGAATGTAAAAGTTGCGGTAAACACATTAATCAAGTTGTAGGTGTAAATAGCTATATAGATTATAATAGGAAGAGTTTTGACGCAGATTAATGTGTATAAATTATATTACTGTATGTGGTTATCCAAACCATAAAAATAATTTTAAATTTCAATAAAAGTAAAAGTTTAAACTCACTCAATCAGAAGATCCAACAACATCTCCCAAGTAGTCATTTGTGGTCTGATACATCTACATAAAGCACCAATCTTCTACACCAAATGAAGTGATATCACAGAAGCAGCTTTACACCTGTCAAAGTGATTAAATTAATAAAAAAAAGTATGCTTTTGTAAAAATCACAAATGCAAAAAAGTTATAAGGAAATACCGCAAATTAAGAAACGAATAACGTAGTAAATTACTATGCAAATAGTAATAAAATCTAAGTTTTTTGAAAAGATTATACAATAAACTTGACGTCTGAACTGATTATCGAAGAGACGGTCATAAACTTAACAGTTTATAAAAACAAGAGAGTAAAATTAAAAATAATAAAAAAAAAGAATCAACTTGTTTATGACACTATAAATACATCACTATCGCCATGTATATCACTGTGCCTTGTAGCTTTTGAAACTGATCACGACAATCTTTGAAATTTTAGTAAAATACGCTCTTCCAAGGTACTTATACAATCAATAAATTAAAAACCATAATTAAAGTTAGACTTTCCAGTTATTTTAAAATATAAATCCCACTTTTTTAAATCAAAAAATAAAAAAAAATCTTCAAAATGACAAAACTTTTTAGCAATTCAAAAAAGTTCAAAAACCAGAAGAAACAAGCATGCAGAGTGTAAGTCTCTAGAACAAATACGTTGGAAACACGTACTCTGGTCGAGCACTCCTCTTTTCCCGTACTTTCTCGCTTCTTCATGTTTTATAAAAGTATTTTAAGCCCAGCCTCTCTCTCCTCGTCGTCTGGCCACAAGACGTGTCCTCTACGTGAGCAATTTCAAAACTGAAGGAACGAGGAAGTATTACACTGAAAAGAACCCTTTTCGAACGGCATTACTGTGGTTAAATATATACGAATTTGGAAGATGTTAACTTTATTTTGCAAGAAAAAGTAATGAAAACAGTTATTACAGTAATTAGGTTAGGATAAACATGTACAATAAACATGTACGAAATAAATTTAAAAAACATATTTTAATTATTTATGTAGGTATAAACCAAAACAAAAAAACTAAAAATATTAAAAACTAAGGTTCTGGCTTCTTAAAACTAATAAAAATTAGTTTTTATAATTTTAAAAAAATTATTCACAGAACCAGAGTAAGTTACTACGCAGTGTAACGTCGCCATAATCCGAAAAAGATTTGACATTGAACGTCTTCCGAGCCTTTCTTCGAACACAAATTTAGAACTACGCCCAACACCATTAGAGACACCAACAGTCCACTTATCACTGTCGTACACATTGTCATTGTGAAACAGCGAATGTTAAACATAGTTACATCCAAAAAGCCACTCAAATCAAAGGTAACATCATGGTAAAATACAGTATTAGCCACAGAAGAAGAAAGAATAGTTAGTTCAAATTTTGTACCATAAGGAATATGAATTTTAAAATTGATATTAGAAAATTCAAGTTGAAAAAATTGACTCCAAATTTGAGTAATGTGAAATAAAAAAATACTTTTGTTTGTCCAAGTTTAGGTAACTGACGCGGAATAATCAAAAAACTTCATTCATTTCATGAAATTTTAAACGAAATATGTTGGAAACATTACGAAAATATAACTTTTGTTATACATAAACAATACACAACCGAATAAATCAACACATTGATAATAACATAAACGTTCAATTAAAAACAGCTCCAAAGCCAAAGCACGTCCCCCAGTTGCCCATAACAAAAGTTTACTTTATCTTAAAAAAGGAAAATTGTAAAAATTATTGTCATTTTATAACCTTTTTAAAAACCACACTTAAAATTTTTTTTCAATTTTGAAATAATTTTAAACTTGAATCTTTTGCGCGATCTTCGCAACGCAAACGCTTCTTTGGCATTCCGTTTCAAAAACAGAATTTTGTAATTTTGACTGAAAAATTAAAAAAATGTTTTTTTCGTAAAATATATTTGAAAGAGTTGTAATGGCAGATGTTACAGAAGAAAACGCGTTAAAGCCTCAGTTAGAAAAGCTGCAATCTGAGTGAGTTACCTTTATATTACAAATGATATTATAGACTTCGATGAAATATTGCGAAATTGTGGTTTTATCAATAATCTTTTTGGATTTTAGAGGCAATATTCAAGAAAATGGAGATGGGACTGATTTCTGTGGGCTTGGTAAGCCAGCAAAACAAAGTCAACTTGAAGATAAGACGTTGCCTGGACATAATATCAAGGTTTCCGAGGTAAGAAGAGGTATCAGAAATGGGCTGGGCGAGGCCTCAATAATTCAGGCTCATACCGAAAAGATCAAAATTTTAATTCACTACGTTTATTTTGTCCACACTGATTTCTATTTAATGGTTTATATCTGGTTTATAAGGTTCTAGACATACCAATTTAATGCATGCTTTGCGTTGTTTAATTTCACAATTATAGGTTTCGGTTTGTCCTTTAAACGTTGCCAAGTTTGAAGCAGATGGTGTCGAAGGTGTGGAGAATATGGAGTTAGATGAGTCGAGCAGAGAAGAGCTTCCATCGATGTTGTCTTACCTTTTCTACGCAAATGAAGAGGAATCTGATGAAGTTTATTATCAAGATGCTTTGTTTACAGGTGATCCAGTATTGTTGAAGTTGAAAGAGATCAAGAACTTTCAAATACGACATTATCGAGGGATTCACAAGGTAGTATTTAATTTTGTCTTTTTCTATTGCTTTTCACTCAAAAAGTGTTAATCATTTAAATGTAATGGTTTTAAAGTTTAAGATTGTATTGCCTTTTAGTACACAACTCACCAGCTGGACAAGAATGAATCAATCACCTTGTGTCGTGTCATTGCGCCGTTCGGTATGGTTTGCACTTATCAGAAGAGTCTCAACCAATATGGATGGAGATTCACGCCACATGAGAGAACTGTCTTTTGGGACATGGTGTTTACAGCATTGGTGAAGCAACATCCTTATCTGGACACTATTAATATTAGACACGTTTTACCAGGATATTTTTACTCTCTAAAACAGAGTTTACTGAAACACAAGCCGAGAAATCGTGGATGGAAGCAGGTTGGTTTTGTTTTATATTGTAGACATACATAGTTTTATTCAAACTCTGTAGAATTACATTTTTAACATTTTTGATAATAATATTAAAACTTCGATCAGATTTTAAGTTCTTGAAAAATTATTATAAAATGCTTAACTAAACATAAACTGCTTTTTTAGATCTACGACGCAGTACACGATTGTCTCAGTCGTCGGCCTTCCGAAGCCCATATGAGCGCGCTGAGAGAGAAAGTGACAGAACATCTCAAACTTACCCATCCCAACTTATTTATTGTCAAACCACCAAAGGTCGATCGTCCAAAACGAAGATATTCTTTCGAGTACCACGAGGAGCCTCTTCCAACTCGAAGTGGAGCATGTTATCAGCGTGTCAAGAGTGTAATTCCTCTGGTCGAGTCAAAACTGTCTGGTAGGATCAAGTTGGAGCCTGCATGATGTTGTCATAGTTAATATGCGAAATATTGGAATATCATACTTTTATCGCCATCCTAGGAATAACTTGTAATGGGTTTATATTTCTATATATTGTTGCTTTTTGTTTTTTAATAACCTGTGCTGAATACTTCATGAGCTATTATATTTTTTTGTTTTAATAAACTTGGGTTGTTATTATTAATGTCTCAAACTTCAAAATGTAAATTTTAAATTTAAAATGTTGCTGATTTAAATTATTGTTTAAATAAGTGTCAAAAATATATCTGTTTTTTACAAATTCTATAGGCTTTTGCTTAGGGGTGAGAAACGGGCCGTCTAGGCCCGGCCCGGCCCTACGATCGGGCCGGGCCGGCCTTGAGCTAAAATTGAAATGGGCCGGGCTTGAAAGTTGGGCCCGGGCCCGAAAAAAAAATTTTAAATTTTTTATTTTAGTCCCCGTTGATGTTTTTTGATTTTATTGGGTACCATGATACATAAATGATCTAAAAAACAATGCAAAGCCAAATTTCCGTTTATTTTTTAAGTTTTAAAATTTTTTAAAACGGGCCGGGCCGGGCCTAGAAATTTTCTGACCGGGCCGGCCTGAGAGAAAATTGAAAACGGGCCGGGCCTTAAAAGTGGGCCCGGCCCGGCCCTTTTCTCACCCCTACTTTTGCTATTTGCAGCAACTACGCAAACCGCGGCGACATTTTATACGAGGGCGCGACTGGCAACTTTTGTAAAAGCGCGAAAATATTTTCAAACCAAAAATAGCACGAAAAACCTGTAAAGCGGAAAGAAAAAGATAGGACGGATATTAGAAACTTCTAATTTGCTACATGGGATAAGTGGTTCGTTTTAAAAATGGCAGAAGTTGATCACAAGATTCCAGAATATCCTTCTGGATTGTCGTCGTTGGGACCTCGGAACAGCATGATCCCTTCGCATGCTCACAACATGGTAAGTTCTCTTACCAGCTTAATGTTGTGAATAATTGTATATTTATGTATATTATTGGTTTAGCTATTATATAAACTTATATAATCTATGCTTTAAATGTTGTTATACCTAAACTTTCAGTCGGATCACATGCTTGCTGTTGCTTGTCTCAACGAGTTGACAGGAGACTTTCAAAGAAGTTTTGATCCAGATATGACGTTTTGCATGGTACCAGGAAGACTAATGTTGTTACAATCTGGCACTAGGTATCGAGTAACTTTGGGAGAAATTGGCAGAAGAATCTATGGACCTGAATGTCTGAATGCTTCGTTTTTGAGTGGAATTTTGCGAAAGTAAGATTTTCTTAAGATTTTTCATAAGAAATATTTTTTAACGATAACCTATTTTTATTTTTGTTAATAATGCCGATTATCTTTTATTGGCAACATATGATTTATAATATACCTTTTAAGAGCCAAGAACAAGGACGTTGGAAGGAACTTGAGGGAGATGCTTCAGCATCATGGGTTGGAGCTTCAACCAGGACGTCGCAAATCAGCTACTCCAACATGTTTTACTGCTCTGGTGGAGGCCGAGGCGGAACAGATGGCTAGCGACTTCCGAGAATTGATTCATGGATATTATCCTGCATCTCATGCTTCTACCTTCTTGATCAGTAACGCTCCCGAGAATTACTCGAAGAAGGATGTTGAGAATGAGTTGATCGCTGCTAGATGTGTGATTCGTCGTTTGTTCGATTTCCAGAAGCACGAGAAGCTGATTCATTGTCACAGTGATCTGAACGAAAAATGCTGCATGAGCGACTTCAATGATGTAAGTAGTAGTTATTATTTTAGGTAACATTAATGGTGTCTGATGAGTAGTTGGGTAATGTTTTGGGGCTTTTTAGATGACTCACACCTTTGGTAACTCTGCAATCAGTAGTACAATCTCGTTGATCGATGACATCTTGGACAAGGCGATGAAAATGATTAATAAAGAAGATGCTTCAGCTGCAAAACAAGCTCCTTCGTCTTCAATGGGCGGAACCATTTGTACAAGTCATATTATTAATGATATCGTGAGTTTTGGTATTGTTTTATGAAGTAGATTGTTAATTAGGGATAAACGTTAAAAATTTTTAATGTTTTATTGGGGTAACACTTGAGTTTAGGCTCAAATGAAGGGCAGTCGACCTATTCCACCAGAAAGCTTTTCAATCCGAGCTCCACCGAAACGTTCAGTCTCAACGAACCAAGTACCCGCCTTTTCTCGACCAACGGCCATCTACAAGCCGTCTATCTTCCACAAGAACTTGGAACGGTTCAACGTTTGCAACAACGCTAACAGTGTCACCTTGAATACTCAAAAGCTTGACTTTCATTTGAACCGAGGTCTTGCTCAGCCAATCGCAAGACGTCATTCCAAATCATACGTTCACCGAAATGAACCATACCAAACAACTCCAAGAGTTCTTCTAACCAAACCTCAAAGCAGGAAGGCTTCTGCTTCTGAAACTCAAGAAGTGTATGAACCTGAAGCTACAGTTACAAACGTAGATAACCCAACTACACCGCAGGTTATTGTACATCAACATGTTCACAGGAGCCGAAACGGGTTCAGCTACATCAAAAAGTAAGTTTTATTACTTGTGTTCCTTTAATCATTGTTCAAGTTTTATCGTTTTTAGTTTTATCGACGAAAGTTCAACGTGTTTATGTCATGTTGCTATTTATTTGCTTTCAGAGGATACATTACCACAACTCAAGGATCGAACGAATCGTCTTCTTCATCAAGACATTCGAATTCGTCAAGCTATGGCGATGAGAACATGTACTATGGGGAAAGACATTTTTCGAGAAGTGAAAGTGATAAATCTGGTTATGTATGGGGTGTTGTGGACCAAGAAGAACCGGAGCTATATATTGAGCCAACTCCCGAAGCTCCTCGAAAAATTAGTGTGAGTTCTGCTGTTTTTATTGTATGTAGTGTTATCTAAATATAATTCTTGTATATAAGTTACCTCCGTTTTTAATTAATCTTAAATTTTTCAGTGTTTGCAACAGCTTCTGGAAAGCAATGACCTGGAGGATGAAGAACAGATGAGTGAAGAGATTAAGAATTCTCCACAACCCACCATCTGCAACCTTCAGGACTTGCTGGACAAAAACAACTACGAATCCTTCAAAGAACCGTCTCCAATCGACGATTTGAACCTGGCTGGCGGCAACGACGTTTTCTTTGACAACTTTATGTCAAGTCAACCAAGTAACATAGAAACTAATTATTTGGAGCAACTGAACAACGATGATCTGCTAATGGACAAAGTAATAGTTATATTTATTATTGAAGTACATAATGTGGAAGTGACCTCACTACTTTAATATACTTATAGGACGACAATTGCTTTCTGGCCGAAGAGACAGATGACTCAAACGAAAATGTGCATGAACTTCCACTTGAGCTGCCTCCAGAATCCGGTGCCTGGTACATGTGATTTTACTTTACTGTGATAATTTTTACTTTTCAGTTTCTCATTTTTTATTTTGTAGCCTTGTTTATGTTTACAAAACCATTTCATACGGTGCATCCAATACCTCATTTACTGTTTTAAATGATAAGTTTTAAACTGCTAATTCTTTGTAAAACGGCTAATAGTAATGTTTTTGCTTATTTTTGTTTCCATTTTATGTTTTTTGAAATTTCACAGTCCTAGAACAAAAGCCAGACTTTGTTTTACTAAATCCGAATATATTTTAAGTTTTTTTTAATTATTAATATTACTATTCATTTGTTTTTGGTTAGGTTAACATAGTTAATAAATGTGTTATGTTTTTTATAATGGACATGACTGCTCAAAAAGCTCATAACAACATACCCAAATGAATTCTTTCTATCGCGCGCGATTCTAAGTGCTACTAATAAAAATATTCCTTAAAAAATTGCGAAAATTTGTGTCAGCGTGCCATTTTTGGAGGTCACGATTGCATAATTTGCTACGTTTGAGAATCCGCGGCTGCGATTTGTTTCAAAGTCATTTCTTGACGCTGAAGCCATGTTGTTACTCGCTTTGTTCTACTTTATATTACGAATATGTGTTAATGGACAAGAAACTGCCACTGTAAAACACGAGGACTTCTTTCTGAATCAACCGGTCGATGGAGACTTGTCAATGGTCGATGAGTATCAACGACAGGTTGCTCAAATGCCTCGGCAGCTAATTGGATTACAAAGGAATGAAATGATCAGTTTTGGTCAGTCTCCCAGTATCTTCGACTTACTGCCACAACAAAGTCCATTGGGTTTGCCTATGCCAAGTTTGTTAAATCTACCTACTCCACTACAATCATATGCGTTGTTTTCTGAGAATAACAACGTTCGACCTTATCCTGGCTTAGCGTATTACTTGGGTAACTACGGTATCGACAAAAAGGAAAGACCATCACCTCATTTCGAAGCCAAACTAAAAGGTTATCAGCAACCTTCGAAAAACGTGCAAACTCTTACTGCACAAACCAAGAACAATCAGGTAAGTGATTGTATTTTAAAATGTTATACCTTTTTTACTATATTTTAAGTTTTAACTTACTCTTTTCCAGAACACTCGCGAATTCTTTACACAAGCAAAGTTCGACACGATTGCTTTGCCATCATCGTCTTATCAGGTTAACACGCCGAAACATTTGAAGATGGAAGGCACCTACGGTGAGCCAATAAAACCCATCGTATCTGTTGGAGGTAACATTGTGTCATTAGAGAAGGAGACTATGAAGATTGAACCTGGCTTGACCAAGATACTAATTGGAAAACGTCCAAGCAGTACTGGAAGTCTTATTGATAAGCAAGCTGCATTAGGAAGGAGTGATGAAAAGGACCCGTTCGGCATGACAGATGAGGAATACCAGGAGTTTCTTCCTACTTTTGCTGAACCAGAAAATGACGACCCAGAAGAAGTTTTACAGAGTACTACGAGTTTAGTACATGACGAAGCGACTACTGAAAGATACGGTAAGTAATATTGACTCACCGTAACATTGTATTTAGAAAAGCAAGACAGCAACCATTCCGGAGGAATAAAGACGGTATCTACTGCCGAAGATGAGGCAAATGACGAAGCAGATAAACAAAAATATGTGGATATTACAGAAGATGACAACTTGAAACCTTTGGTCAGTAATAAGTTTACAAAATCACATAAAGCTTTGAGTGCTTATACAAAGCCGATCGCTACTCCAACTTCAACATCATATTCAACGATTATGCCTCGAACAACTACTGCGAAAGTTGTTAAGATAGCTGAAACTACAACCATGAAGCCTGTAAGCGGTAGTTCATTTGTCAGTGAAATCACACCAACTGTCGCTTTTCGTAAAATGGAAATGATACATGGTTCTGGTCTTGAGAAGATTGAAGCTCCGTCAGATGATGTCACAATTGATTTGGTTGTCAGCACTACTGATGCGGCAATCGAAAAAAGAAGACGAACGACAATGAAGGAGATTATGACCACAGCACCGTTAGTCGTGACTACTGAAAGAATTGTTCAAAATCCATCAAAAAAAGCTGCTTTGACCTCAACAGTTTGTACGACAGTTAGCCCTAAGTCTACGACAAAGACGGAAACAAAAACAACCGAATCGATTTCGAGTACTACAACAACGACAGAAACAAGCAGTAAGAACACTATAACAAAAGAACACACTTTAGTAAATAGTGGTAACACTGTAAGCCCTTATAAGACAACTACAGAAAAGATTACTTCAAAACAAGAAAAAGCTAAAATTAATAAATCATCAACAACCAAGGCTACGACAAAGTCAACAAAAGTAACTACTACTAAAAGACCGGCGACAACTACAACCATTATAACTACTGCAAGAACTATACCGGAAAAGGAAGAAGATGAAACTGTGCCGACAAGAACCACTGTTTTTGAAAAAATCAACACGACATTATTAACTAAAGGACCCACAACTAAGACTACACCAATACCTACAACAAAAGTTACGTCAATTACTGCCGCAGCTACAAAATCTAAAACTAGTACATACAAAACTACTCCAAAAACAAATTCTGCGACTTTTATAACTACTTCTACGTTAAAAACTACAGCAACTACAAATCCAGTTACTACCGTATCAACTTCAACACCGCCAACTTCAAAACAGACTAAAGAGATTGTTAACGCTACAAAACCCGTAACTTCAACATACAAATCACAGAAGATGGAAAGGTTAAGCATTTGGGAGATTCTAGAAGGCAGAACTGAAAATAACGATGACAATGAACGCGCTGCTTCTTTAACTGACGGTACGCTATCAGAAAATACCACTATACAGCCAAAATTGAAAAAGTTTCAAACTTTGGCCCCAAACACACTGTTTTCACTGTAATTTATAGAGTAAAAACATTTACAATAATAACATTGCCATTCGGGTTTGACCTTCTGATTGTATGTAAAATAAATTATTTGCTTATTGAATAAAATAAATAACTTAAAATGACGTTTTATACATTATAAAGACTTATCGAGCCCTCCCTTAGCCGACATGATACTAGCTAGAAAAGGTAGATATGACCGACTCATTAACGAGACGAATGTCATCTGAAATGCATTGAAATTGGTAAGATGACTCCAAGTATGAAGTCGTTTTCGCGTCTGAAGAGAGTTTTGTTCTTGTAGTGTCGTCAGTTTTTGAAATAATTTTTGATCAAAATGTCTTGGATTCGATCATTGAAACACAACGAATTGTTACGGGATCGTGATGAATATATGAAAAATGTCTACGGAGATCCGTTGAGTTATTGGAAAGTGAGTTTTATGTTTTATATGTTTACCCATTGATAAACTAAATATTAAAAAGTATAATTTTTATATTAAAAATATGTCTAGCAAGCCGAACAGACAAAATTTGTGACAGAACGTGAATATTGGGATGACTTTCGCTACGGTCAATGTTTTGACAGTGTGGATTCTGCAGTCCAGGTACGCTTACTTTAGTTTTTTTCCCATCACAGCTTACTATTTTAATTAATCTTGTAGTAAATACATAGTATAATATATTATTAAGTGCGAAATCATTCACGGTGAATTCGATCCAAAACAGTTACCGTATGAGAAGTACATGCAATGGCACTTTCGAGAGTTTTGCTACAAGACTACAGCTCATGGTATACCTATGATCGGACAAGCTCCGAATCGCTATTACAGGTAATTATATGTTGTTCATTATCATGTCAATTATAGTTAAACTATTAAATTAATTTTATAATTACAAGGTGGAATAATGATATAATTTATCTTATCATACATTTTAGAGGTATTTGGATAGCATTGTTCCTTGGATGCATGTTCATGTTGTATCAGAATGCTCGTTCTGTTATAGACAAGTACAACAAGAATGAGAAGATTGTGGATATTGAACTAAAATTTGGTATTATTTTAAAGATTGTTATCTCTGCTTGCAATACTTGTTTTTTTACCATGAGTAATATTTTGCAGATACGGCTCCTTTCCCAGCAATTACGATCTGCAACTTGAATCCTTACAAAGCTTCGATGGCCAAAGATGTCGAGCTTATCAAAAGAACAGTAAGTTATTTTTTGAAGTTTTTAACTTAGTATTTTTGACATTTTTATAACTTTATACTGCTATTATACATTCATTTATGTAATACTATTTTTTCTAGTTGACAGCCTTTGACGGAGCCATGAACAAAGCCGGTCATTCAGAAGGTAACAAGCGAGAAAAGCGAGCTTCACATAATTCATCGTCGGTCTTCGAGCCAGGCTACTCGAAATGTCAATGTACTGGACTGGAGACATCAGCCGAGACTGGTGACATCGTATCTGCTGAGAAGGGTGAATGTGAAGGAGAGAAGTACAAGTGGGAGAAGCCTGATGGCAGCGAAGACAAGTGCATCTGTGCCTTTGACAGAGCGACCAACGATGCTTGGCCATGTTATTTGTCACACAAATGGTCTCAAGAAGTCTGTGAATCGTGTGATGAAAGGAACTTTTGTCTAAAATGTAGGCATACCATTAATCTTATATATTGCATTGTAGAATGCCATCTAATGGTTTTATTACACTTTTAAATCTTGACAAGGCTTTGAAAGAACTGTTAAGTTAATATTATAAATTGCAGCATTACTCGACACAAACTCCACAGATGGTGAAGCGTGTATATGTGCTCCTTCAGGCGAATTCTGTATGGCATACGACGGTATCGCAGAGATATTACAAATATGGAAGTATCTTAATGGAGATCCGGAAGAAGAAGCTCAATTTATTGAAGCCATGGGTTTCAAGGTACTATAATATATTTAAGAATCAAGACTAGATGAATACAGTACTATGTATAACAATACTATACCATTAATTGTATCTCTTCAGGACATGAAAGATGAAGTAGCGATTGTAACCAAAGCCAAGGAGAATATTATCTTCGCCATGTCTACACTATCGGTCAAAGAACGTATGTTATTATCGAACAGTAAACGAGAATTACTGCACAAATGCTCATTTAATGGACAGCCTTGTGATATAGACAGCGACTTTATTACTAGGATCGATCCCATCTTTGGAGCTTGTTTTACCTATAATCATAACAGGTAAGTACAATAAGCGACCACGTTGTTATCATACGTTTACATGCCTTATGTTAACGAAGACGTGTTGTTCATTACGTTTTTGATACTTTACTTCTAGCCAAATTTTTTTGGTTTACAACTTATGATTGTATTTAGAAAGACCAACCTGACGTCAGTAAGAGCTGGACCCATGTATGGACTTCGTATGTTGGTTTACGTGAACTCGTCAGATTATATGCCGACTACAGAAGCTACTGGAGTCAGATTGACGATTCATGACAAAGATCAGTTCCCGTTTCCAGATACGTTTGGATTTTCCGCTCCAACTGGCTTCGTATCTTCGTTTGGACTGCGGTTGGTATGTTACATCTACTATTTCTGACGGAATTTATAAACTTGTTCATCCAGTTCATTATTCTTAGTCAGTAGAAAGTTAAAAATGAATATTTTTAGCGAAGAATGAGCAGGTTGCCCTCCCCTTATGGAGATTGTGTTATGGATGCAGCTGCGGAGTCATCAACAACATACATATACGAAGACTACTCTTATTCTGTTGAAGTAAGTGCGAAATTCATTTGCTTAATTATAAATTTAGGTAAAAAGTAATAGCTTTAGAGCTTTAAAAATGATTAACTTACAGGGATGCTACCGATCTTGCTTCCAACAACGTATGTTAGACGAATGTGGCTGTGGAGATCCTCGCTTTCCAGTGCCTCAGGGGAAGAAACATTGCCGTGCCGCTGATTCTTTTGCCAGTATGTTGTCCGACCTTTCCGTGCAATAAAATTTTAGTTTACAAAAATTTAAAGCCTCGGGCGCAGTTGTTTGAAAGTATATACGGCAGCTCGCAAAGCCAAAAGCATATTTTTGTTTTTACAGGGAAATGTCTGGAAGCAAAGCTTCAAGAAATGGGTGGACATCAGGGTAACAGTAGTATGGCTTGTCATTGTGCTCAACCATGCCGACAATCCATATATTCTGTCACGTACTCTCCGGCACGATGGCCTTCGAAGAGTCTTCAAATTCAGATTGGTGTTTGTAACGATACTCCGACTGAATGCACTAAACATTACAAGTAAGTGATTCTTACGGTCAAATGAGGTTTATGAGGGTAGTTTGTTCAATATGAACATAAAATGATACCCTTTGTAATACCTTTTTATGTATTTTATCTTATATAACTTTAGAGACAATGGTGCTATGTTAGAAGTGTTTTACGAGCAGCTGAACTTTGAAATGTTGACGGAATCTGTGGCCTACGGGGTGAGTCAAATCATTTTAATTTTTTTTAATTGTTTTTACGCAATAACTAACATATTCTTGATAGTTGGTCAACTTGTTAGCTGATTTTGGGGGCCAACTTGGTTTATGGTGTGGTATCAGTTTCTTGACTTGTTGTGAATTTGTGTTTTTACTGTTTGAAACAATGTACATGTCATTCCAACATCAAATGTTATTGCATCGGCAGAGGAAAGAGGAGAAAGAAAAGGAACGAATATTATATTGATTTTAACGTTTTTCAAGATATAAATTGAAATTTAAAGAGTTCGTTAATTTCCTCGTTAGCCAAATCAATATTTTAATAAGGACAATCGAAGGTCTTACTATAAATGACATTGAAAAGTCCTAAAGGCATGTGAATATTGACGTAGAGGCCGCTGATTGAAGCGACCGCCAAATTAGAGCCTCGAATAAAATTAACGGATTGTCGAATATGAGGTTGATTTGTCTTTTGTCGTGTTATGGCTCGATCCTTCAAGCCGCACGAGTTACCGGCAAGCTACAACCATCAGACTTTGGGGATGCCGACATGGCCATACGGGCACCCACCACCTGTGTTACCTAAAGATTCTGTGGCTTCTGCCATCAATTACTTGTTGAGCAGGATTATTGTAAGTTTCTTTAATATTAAAAAGTGGTATATTACCGAAAGAAATGATACTTTGGCTATTTTTTGTATAAAATAAGGGTTGAACATAATTTCTTGTGTTTATATAATGTCATTTTAGGCAATACCAAACCGATTAGCTCTGCGAAGCTTAGAAAGAATCTGCAAACGGATGCAGAGTGATCCGGCGACGAAAGATGTTGAACTGAACAAGCTGATTCAACATGTAGCCGATCGGAATCTTCTTCAATCACCCTGTATCAAGGTCAAAAGCACTCGAGATGGTCGTCTTCAGGTAAGATTAAACAGGTCTACTTGTTTTTGATCTTTGAGTATTGGAAAGTTATAACAAAAATAGTAACTTCTAAAGTTTAAAATTGATAAAACTGTTGTAAAAATCATATATGCCACGTGCGTTACAAAAAAATTGGACGTTCAGTCAAAAACCACCAATTCTTGTCTAGATCAGACAAAAATCGGCAATTTCTGTCTTTTGTAGACAAACAATGTTCATCATTGTCTATAAGCCTTATAGACTAGAATTCGCGGTTTTTGACTGAACGTCCAATTTTTTTGTAACGCACGTGGCATATATAAAAGAGTAAGTTTAGGTAGCTGGAGCAAAGTACAATATATTTACCATCTTGGTCCGTTTATATTCGTATCCCGGAGTTGAACGTGAACATCTTACTCAAAGCAAACATCACGAACATGGAAATCGAGGAACGGTAAGACAAGCTCAACATTAAATTGGCCGAAAAGTTTGTAGTACTGGGTTCTATTAGCTGTTTTTAAAATTTTAAAGATATTTTGTAATTTGCATAGTAAAATATGTGCATATATGGTTTAACAGTTCAAAACAGATTTTTGTTTAATTTTAAAAAATTAAGTGTATTTTTACAGTATGTGTGCATAAACCCCGACCATTTCTCAACTATGGACTATCGACCAATGCCTTTTCGTGTTTCGGTCGATTACTCTGTAAAGAAACACAAACATGTCATGTTAGAAGAGTCTTTGAGAATGGAAAATAATCTCCCTAGAAAACATGTTGTCACATCTACTGATGACATCAGAAGAATCGAATATTACAGGAGGAAGGCGTTGATGGAAAAGTCTGCTTGATAATACAGTAATCTGATTGTAGATAATAATGTTGTTTTGTATTTAGTTATAGTTATACGGTGATGGTTTTACGGAAATAAGATATTGATATTTGATTAAAGTTCAGTAGTTAATGTGTATATTTTTCACATCTTAAGGTATCTTTGATTTAATAGTAATATTTATTATGTTATCCATCAATATATATTTGAGAGATCTCTGGCAGTATTAGTTGAGTATATTAACAACCATATAGCAAATGTTTGTGTAACTACGTACATGTTAACTTTAAAATTGTGTAGATAATAGTTTAAAGGTATTTACAAATTCTTAAGTTGAAACAAAAAGATTGGCGCGTACTGTAATAGTACTACAAGACAGCAAACAATATTTGTGGTAGCTTGTAGTAGCTTCATATAATCTGGCCATGAGTAACACGTTCTATGAGATAAAAGTGGGTGCCCGAAGCTCATCCAACTCTACCGTTCTCGGCGTCGACCGTTCTGGTGTGCAGTACCGTTTGGGAACACCTTTAGGTAATAGTGTTGTGTACTTATCTCGGCAGTTATAGAGATGATATGCATTTTGGATTAACACTGCCAGGATATAAACTACTAGTAAAATGTACCAAAATGTCACACCAGTGCCGGAATGGGACTAAAAAGATATTTTAATTAGAGTTTGGGGAACAAATTTTAGTTAAAAATTGTGATGAACATCCATAAGTATTTATACAGTAGCCCTAAACTTTTTTTGATGTCAGTTTTAGCTAGCAACGTTGAATGATATCATGACTTACCTCAAAAACATATTCGGATGATTTGATGTAGGCATAGGTTTCAGAACATACGAATAAACCAATAACAACATAGAAGAACACTGAAAAATCATCATTAATATAATATTAGTCTAATGTGAAATTGATATAACAAAAAACCAAATTTGTGGTAGAATGGAGCGTATCAAAGTTTCAGTTATTATCAATAACATGTAAAATAGTAAAAGTAACTGTAACTTACCGATGAACCCAGCCAATACCCATGAGAACATCTTGAGGTAGAAAACTCCATTTTCAGTTTGTTTTTGGCGACAACACATCATCAACGAGATGACGAGGTCAGCTGCATACACAGCGAACATCATTACTGCGATGTAATAGGCTGAACGCAATACTGAAACATGTTATCCATCAACAAATCTAATTACTATTAAATTATGTGCAGCTGTTTTGGCTTTACTGGATATTAGATTAGTTTATGCTGATAAAAAGTTTTTAAACTTACATCCACCAGGTAACGTGACATCTTCATAACCCAACTCAAACTGTGGCCAAAAGACCTTCCATTTATCGTGAATGTCATCATTCTGTGGCCATCGTTCACATTGAATGTCACGGCTCTGTTTCAAGTTTAGTGCACAATCACTGTGAGCTATACCACGCTAAAAACAATTTAAAACTTCAAAAGGTGTCTTTAGAAAATGTAGTAAATGTTATCTTCTTGTAAATATTTTATATATTTAAAGCAACATTTTAAAAAATGTTCAAAAGACATTTTGTTCAAATACGTCGCTTCAATCCTAAAATTTCAAAAAGAAATTGAAAAACGTACCACAAACTCGTAAGAGTCATTGTACGATGTAAGATGAATCCACTGATGATAATGCGTGTCTACCACTGTGCATACAAACGCTATCAGCTTCAAGAAAAAAGATATTGATAAGGTCCAGAATACTATTTGGTCTTTTACTGACGCACTTTGCACTGACTGTGTATCATCATCATCTCTCATTGTGCCTTAAATTAATAGCGACATTAATTTTGTTGTAAATCATTTACTTTAGCGACAATTTAACAAACAGTAAAATTTAATATGTAATAATAAGAAATTTCCAAAAGTAATGCCTTTTAACAGGTGATGTACCACGCTTTTAATAATATTACAAGATGAGTCAGTCGTTATCATTAGTAAAAGTTAACAGTGATTCATAAAAGCGCAACCTTTTCGATCTAAATATCTATTATTTTTGACTCTTTTAAAGTACGAAATAAACAATGAGGAAGCGTACGACAAAAATTATATTACCAATCATGTCTAATAACTAAAATGGCCCGAATCTTTGCCATACCTTTGCCCTCAATTTAGAAAAATTACTTTTACTTCAAGATTTAGAGCTTCAAAATTTTATTTTTTCAACTTTTTGTAAAACTTTTTTTAAAATTAGCTCGTTATGAAGCTCTAACGAAGCCAATGAGTATTTATTCTCGTTATACAAACAATCACAAGTACTCACAGGCTTATCGGAGCAAAACAAAGATTGGAAGAGTAAAGAAAACGGTTTAAAAGATTGCGTGAAGGAAAGAAAACTTAATTTGGGGAAAGTCACACTTTGCTTACATAACTGCTTATTACTCTGTAAGTCGACACTGGAGCATAGGTTACAAAGAAAAAGGCCAGTATAGATTTTATAACCTTTTTGGCGATATTCAGACTTCAAAACTTATACAAATAGTTTCTTTACCCAAAAAATCCGTTATATTTTTAATACCTTATTTACGCTAACACAATATCATTGACAAAAAAATTGAAAACACCATATTAGATCACATAATTTTCAAAAAAGTTTTAAAAACCAATTTTATTCTCTTTTTACACACAAATTTAGGTAAAAACACATGAAATTATGTATAAAGCGAGTAAAAAGTCGCGAAGTTAAGGGTTGTTATTCAGAAGAAGATGGGTACCTTTCTTAATTCCTCGCAAGTGACTGCCGACCTCCAAAACATATTCGAAAGAAAACGCAAAGCAACTTAAATCAAATTTGCATTTTTGATCGATCTTTCTTAAAATGCGAATTTTGGAGTTGCTTTTTGAGACGGTATCTACTATTATTAGCAACGTGGGCAAGTACAATAAAATAATTTATATAGCATCTAAATTTTTTATACAATATTATAATTAAAAACGTTACTTAAAACCCATCCTTAATGTAATCAAACCCATTACTCAAACAAAGAAGCTGTTATGAGTAATGTCTTGACATTGAGTGACTTCTACGGCCCTAAAAAGACATAAAATGCCAAATCCATCTCGAAATCCGCTCTTATTTTGAATGCACTAAATTCCCTTTTTTGCACCATTTCCGGCAACCCTCAGGCCTTTCTGTTGTTATATCTTCATAAACGGCTTGTTTTCCTCACGTTTTTGAAGAAACAAACTTAGGTTTAAAAATGAAAAATAGGCTTAATAAGGATAAAAGGGTGAGTTTAGACAAATGTAGGTACCAGGCAAAGTTCAAGATACTATTTGGTTAAAAAGTTACTGCCTTACCATAAATTCGAAAAAGAAAAATGATCTAGCTAATTTGAAAACAAACGGACTAAAAATTGGCTAGCTTGAGCGTTTTTTTCTTAAAATTAGATGTCATTTTTTAAAATACGATCATATAAATCTTGATATTTAAACTTCATCAAATTATCACTCTAAAACATAAAAAAACATCTTTGTAATACCATACCATTTAAAAACATCACAACTTTTATCTTTTTTTTGTAAAATTTACAACAAATTTCGATATATTTTTAAAATTTCCAAAATCCCCTCAAAAACAGATGATGATGTCTGAAGAAACATGAATAACATCAACTGTAATGTCCCGAAAGCTACGGCGACACTTCCCCAAATGCCCCGAGGGAATGGTGGGAATTGCGCGAAGAAACGAATGCTCAAATCTCCTTAGGGCATGAGATTTTATTTTGCGCCAAGCACTGAAATTAGAGCGGCCTGATTAAATTGAGACCATTAATTAAGGTAGTTGTTATTGGTTAGGTTTATTTAACATTAGTTACTGATTACAATTTAGAATTTAGATTTAGTTATTGGTTACAATATACGTTACACTATATATATAAAAGTAGACTTACAAAAAGATATTCAATTGATTAGAATGAATTTTAGATTAAACATTGTTTATAAAAGATTTATTAAGATTTTTTAATTCAGATATTGATAAGAAAGTGTCGTTAGTTATTGATTACATTAATTAACCTTGGTTATACTTCTACATAGACATTGCTTAAACAATTTTAATAAGTTAATAATATGTTTCGTTAAATTTTTAAAATTTTTTGTAATAAGTTATAAATTATGACGTGACAGATCAATGTGGTAGCATAATGAGACGAAGTAAAATAATTATCATTGATTAACTAAAGCGATGGTAAAATTAAAAAAGGCTAGTTGAGGGTAAGGGTCCAGCAAATTCTAGTCACAATGACACTTTGTCCCTATTCTATCTATGATACGACTTATCATTGTGACAAGAATTGGCCGTTATGGCTACTATAGACAATTGAAAATGGCCTTTCAGTATTATGAAATTTAATTATATATTCTACACTAGGTACCTAAATGAAGGTTAATACAAGACTATGCAACAATATCGCCTATAGACTACAACAATATCATCAGTAGAAGAAGTTTTAAAACTACAGACTTCATCGTTCCAAAAGTTCTCGGACTGACAAGAGTGATAAAAAGAGCTGGCATACATATTTATATAAACAGCTATTTTGTCATCACTTACTTGACATCATAATGTTATGTCATTTGTCATGTAACCGAAAACTTGAAAAACTTCCTAGAAATCACATGTAATTGTAAGACCTTCTACTATACATAATACTTTGCATGATGTGAATTGAAAGTTTAGACTAATACAATATTATTTTTCACATCAAATTCTTAACAATGTTATGTTATATGTACATTAAACTTGTTTAAAGAAGTAAAATTAGACTTGATTATAAAATGTAAAATCAATTACTTTTAAAATAAAATAAGATACTAAAAATATATTTATATAACTGTACACATTTAGACTACGGCGAGATCATGAGACCTAAGTAATCGGCGCTTATCTTTTGTAATGTAAGAACGCTCAGATATTACTGTAACCGGATATTCGACTCTTGGGCTAATTTTTAAAATGTAATTTTTTAGATACTGGATTTTAAATTAATTAATTGTGATAGGGTGGGGTGAAAATTCAAAAATAAATAAAAAAGATAACAATAAGTTGATTAAAATGAATTTAGAAAAATTATAACGACAGACAACAACTCAAAGTAAGGGTTAACATAAATAAAAGTATTTAAATTACGCAATTGATTGATATTATGCAACCTTAATTATTGATTAAGTTAACATCCTAAAAGACTATGTATAGCTATCGTACACTAAATAAATTCTTTAAAATTGATTAAAATTAATTAAATTAAAATTTTTAAAACGCCAGACCGTTCTGAAATTGGACTTTAATTGGAGCCGGCTCCATTTCTTCAGTATCAGAATTGTTGCCTAGATAAGGCAGTGGTTTGGCTAGTTTCCTCCTTTTGGCACCCTTAGGGATCACAATATCCTTAACATAGTTATCACTCTTCATGAGTTGTTTATCATTGCTAACTTCCTGATTCTGTTTATCATCGTCTGCCTTCAGAAGCTGTTTCTGTTCGTCACTATACCTTAAAAGTTGCTTACTGCCATTAGCCTTCAGAATATTGTCAAACTGGTCATCACTCTTCTGATTCCGTTTTCCATCGTTGTCATTTTTGAGAATCTGTTGGCTGTCTTCAAAAGTTTTCATCAAGATATTCGTAATATTGTTAACAACATCTACAGTAACATTTTGTAGATTATGCTGTTGTGTAACGCTGAGTTTCTTGAAGTTGATGTTCTGTTGATGACCTTCTTTGACTACTTCAACATCTTCTGGTCGTGGATTCTTCCTCGGCCTTCCTCGCCCTTTCTTCAGCTTCAAGCCGGTTTCCAAATTCGAAATGTATTTTAAATTCAACGGCTTCGGCTTCATTTTCTGCTAAATGAAATTGTTACTATGACAACATCTAATCAGCTAAGTCAAGGTAATAAGTAATCAGCAAAGTTTTCCATTTTTATTGTTTAGATGTTATTGGACAGTAACATTAACTGCAACATGCCATTTTCAAAATGATTTACTTAAAAATAAGTATTACTAACCTCAACAACACCTACTCTACAACAATATCACCTTACCTTGTGCCGTTCGCTTATCTGACGCACCAGATTCTGAAGCTGACTTTCCATTCTCGGCCGAGCGGAAAGGAAGCCGGCTGCCCCAAACTGAAGCGAAATTATTAACTTGTAATATTAAAAACGGGCAAAAAGTTAAAAAAGCGGCTGAAAAGCAAGAAATACTAATGACTGCGCACGTCGTATGTACGAAGTGTTTGTAGTTCAGAAGTCTCGTTAACAACAAAGGAGAAGGCCGGACCTCTTTTAATTATAATATTATTAGTCTCTGCGGCTAATTTAAAATACAGTATCCGTTTTATGATTCGAAAATTTCATAAAAACGGAGATTTTCAAGGTTGAGATAGTGCAATGTGTACTATAATGTTGCGTTATTGACAATTATGACTAAAGATACTGCTCACCGTCCATAGAAAATGAACAGTAAGACAAAGCGTATTAAAATAAAGTCAAAAATTAAAGAGAACAATCAAGAATTTGCTTTTCTATGTACTTTTTGACCAATGAAATTCGTAATTAAAAGCTCTTCAAACGGTTTTTAAGCTTATTAACAACAATATAAACTGTTATATAGTACTTAAATGAGCTAAAATCCTCTTTTTTAAGCCCCAGTCACCTCCTCTACCAACTTTTTGACCGAACAGATATTAAGTCATCCTCCAACATGTTTACAGCTACTAAAAATGCAATAAAAGTAATCCAGCACGTTGTCAGCTTATTACAAATAAAGCAAGATTGAAAGTTTTGAAAACAGGATTAGTCCGAGTACAACAAGGATAATATTCACAGGAATCCACGTGTGCAATGTTTATATATTAACACGATGACTATTGATATATTATAGAAGAGTCAAAAGATATAATCTTAAAAAGTAGTAGAAGCTTTTACATTAAAGCTATCGTAATATTATATTGCTATAAAAGGTGCCAATGTAATACTATAGAAGCCCATATTGACGTAGAAGCAAAAAAGTAATTTCACGTTTCCCTTTTTACAATGTAAAATTTATAATTATTAGAAAAACATACCTTAACATTTCTTTTGTCACTCTTTTTCCTTTTCCTGGTACGAAATGTCATCAAACGCATCGTCATTGAAATACCAAAGCTTCTAGAACTGTTTTACCTTCACCACCAGAATCTTCATATACATATCCCACCTCATTTCTGTCATTCCCTATAAAGTTGTACTGTAATCAACACAAAAAAATTCAATTTTAAATTTCAAAAGCAAAAAACGTCTGCAAACACAATATAAACTACTATGGTTTCTTACTCTGTAATCCGAGTGTCGTCTACCACAGTATAATCCGTCTACATTCACTTCCGTTACCTGCCAATGGTAGCACACTATAGTATCACAACTCTGTAAAGAAATCCGGATTAATTAAAACGAGTTTCGTCGCATGTCAAGAGTACTTAAACACATTGCAGCTAGTCTACATTAACACAATTAGTATATTACACTTAGAGTGTAAAAGTATATGACACTGCCTTGTGTAAAGTAATAAGTGATACAAAATATTGTAATATGAGCCGTAATGGATGTTGTGAAATATTAATAAGCTAAAATTACTTTTTTCACAGTTTTAGGTACAAATTTGGGTTTGTATTCGTAAAACATCATTAGCGATACTATTTTTAACCTTAACAAGCTACCATATACATTTATTCGTAAAGAAAAACATTGTACATCTTGTGAACATAACTAACGCACACTTAAGAATTGTAAAAGCGTTTCTCTAAAAATTAATGTAAAACTGAAATAACACAATCTCGCTTTAGCAGGAAATTCACATATATCAACCACGTAATATCAAATAATACACAACTGCTTCAATGTAATAAAGTAAAACACGTCGCAACACACTCCGTACAAATCTAAAGTTACAAAAAAATTTACTTTATTTAACCCTATATTAAAACCTATTAAAAAAAAGTTGTAAACGTTATTACATTTATAAAAAAAGTATAAAATTATAACTAATAAATATATCGGTATATCTCCTAACATATACATATAAACTAACAGTCATAGATGAATAGCTTCACTTCCTAGCCAATAATTAACAATTTTCTTATCAGCATGTACCAGTTGAACATGATCGTCTTTAAATCTTCTGTAAGAACCTTCTAAGTCGTCATGTTGTTCTTCAAGCTTCTAAAATATAGTTTTAACCCTCAGGTCTTCCAAACTCAAATAATAATATTAGGCCGTTCACTTAATCCTACGCCCTCTCTCAAAGTGTACTGTGTCAAAGGGTGCAGAATTAAGTGAACGACCTAATATAATCAACATTTTTTGCAAACTATTGAAGTTGAAAAAAACACTCACATCCTTAAACACCTCTAATTGTTCACAAAATCCATTGTTCGGATTAACAACGTCCCTTCTAGAACGAATGAAGCGTATAGTAACAGTTGGGTCCATTTTCGTTATTGTCATAATATAAGCAGTTACAATGGTCGCTGATCTGCTCACTCCCATCAAACAGTGTACCAACACATTCTCTAAAACAAATTACTTTTTACAGTATAAAGATAACATATTACAACTCATAAGATTGCCGAAAGCCATATTTCTCAAGCTTGTCAGCTAAATTTCATCAAAATAATAAGTTAAAAACATTTAAAATCAATCCTTTTTGACCAAAATTGTGATAAAAAACAATATGAATTTAAAAAATTTTAATACAATATAGTACTCACTGCTAGCAACCCGATATGAATGAATAAAGTCGATGCAATCACCAAAATATTGTGATAGGTCACTTTGAGGCTCGTCTTCCAGATGAATTTGCTTGTATTTTACATTCTTCTCCTTTTTAACAGGCGCTGTCATTATTGTCAAAATGGCTGATATGCTAGCTTTTTGCAGATTCTTCTTGTTCGTGGCAGCTGAACAAGTTCCGAGGTATAGACCAGGTAATATCTCGTGCATGTCTTTTTGCTGAAACACAACATCATTCAAAAAATGCATTAAATTGTAAAACGTTTCCAATCCTCTACAAATCCTTTAAATATACACAACAAATCTACTTGACAAATGCTTCGAGTTCATAAAATTAAATTTTGAGTTATTTATAAGCTTTAGCAACGACTTTAGTGTCAAAACTTACAGTTTTGTAGCTTTTTCTCCATTTTGCCAATTTATTTACAGCAGTTTGTTGCTCTTTATTCATTTTAATATTATTTTACAACCATTCGTTGTGTTATTTACCAGATTTTGTTAGAAAAACATAGAGGGACCAACAAAAAATAAAATAATTTGTTTTAAAACGACGAAGTGTCACAAATGATGCGAAGTGTCAACTTGTTTTTCGCAAACAAAATTTTGTATTTTACTATTTTTTGATTAAAAAACCGTTTTCCAAATGTTTTTTCGATTTATTTTACATTTTCTGATTGTATAGTACATGAAGGCCAAGTTTTATTCATTATATTACAGTAGTTTTTGAGTTTAATTAAATATTTAGCACAATATCACTTATGACAGGACATGCGAAAGAACCCGAGTTGTGTTTGTATGTACAGTAAGACTTGAATACTCGTTTAATTGTATTGCATGGAGATTTTGCGTCCATTTTGTTGTGGTACCACTCGGTCGTCGTTGACCATCAATGAGATCGCGCCCCGGCTGTCATTGGTTTGGATGGACATGGCGCTGTCCATATCTGTTGGTCGGTAGGTCATGTAGCCGACAATGGCCGCTAATATTGACACGAGTTTGCATACGATTGCTGAAAAAGGTTTTTTATTTTTTATATTACCTTATCTATGGTAATATGGTTATATGAGGTTGTGTTTTACAGGGTTTTTACAAAAATAGGTAAGTTTTTAAAAAAGTAAAATTTTTTATTAATAAAAGGGTCTTCTATAAAACGGGTGTCTTACCGACAGCCAGAATGGTCCAGGAGAGATGAACAGGATCGTGAACCCAGCAAGATTGTTTATGGCCGCAGGCTGATTCTTTCCATTTTAAGCACGTTGTGTCAATCATCAACCCGAAGAGAATACCTCCAGGAATGAAGCCGAGAAGCCTCAAGAAAGTCCAATGAACTCCAATAGCCAGCGTCCTTTGATGGAAAGGCACAACTCGCAACATGATCTGTTGAGAAGGTATGCCGGTAGCAAAACTGGCGACTACCGAGAAGAACAACAACACCAGGAAGGCCCACATTGGCCATCCACATTCTCTGGTGCAGTAGCCTTGTCGGACCATCAACGGATCGTCGTCGATGAAATTGGTCAATGGATTTGTACGGTTTGATGCCAAGCATTCACAATCAGTCCAAGTATCTCCGGTAAGTGCGTTATGTTTGGTTTTACAGCCTGCGAAGCATGGTGAGTAATATGTGATTCCTGAACTGTCATCGCACACCGGATTCCAGTCGATTTCGTGGCAATGACAGTCGGCGTTGCAGGTGGAAGACAAGTTAGCAACACCGCCTTTCAGCTTGCTGTAATGATCGATTATCACAACAATTTATATGACTAAAGTCAATAAAACAATCAATTGGACACTTTAGCCATAAAAGTAATTAAAGAAACTACAACAATATATAAAATTACAGTAACAGCGATCTTCAGCTCAAAAGGAATGATCAAACTAGTCGACGTACCTTTTTTCGTAACCAGTGGTAATTCCAGCGAACTCTCTGGCTGGGCACTGGATCATAAAGGATGAGATAAGCACTAACGCTATTACGTGACAAATCAGGATCAACTTCAACATTCCGCCAACTTGGAGATCCAACTTCCTGATTAAAATGCCACCCAACATGACTCCAGTGGCCGCGGCGAAGATTACAACAGCTAAAATTTTAATATTGATGATTCTGTTCAGCTTTGTGATAAAGGCATGGGAAAATTTTGTTGTTTATTCAACTTACACGATAAATAAGAAGCGATCGTAGGTGTGGTACTCAACAGAGCTTCCAGGATTTTTGGCATGAAGGCGGCGAAGCCATTGATGATAATGGATTCGAAGATTCCAAGGACAATACATGTGACAAAGGTAGGATTTCTCAAAATATTCTAAACCAAGATAATATACACCATGATTATACTTACATAAATCGCTTTTGTAAGAGCAGCCCAATCAGTTGGTTTAAATTCACCGTCATCTTTTTGTTGTGATACTGCGTGAACTTGGTTTACATCCTTCTTCCGATGACGTTTAGCAGCAGGTAACTCTTTGGCGAACATCATTATAGGAAAAGCGTTGATGAATGCTGCAACAGAACAGCCAAGGAAGCCGAGCCACCAGGCACCAACCCATCGTGGATCAGAAGAATCTCTCATTGGCAATCTGAAATGAAGGTTTTGTAAAATTTACTCAACGGGAAAACATTAGGCTTAATGAAAAATGGTACTCACTGGGAAAAGTCAACTCGGTCAAAGTCAGTGTAGATTGTCAACAAGAACCCGCCAATAAATAAACCGACTACAGGTCCAACGCTGGTTACCACACCGTGTATGGCTAAAATTATGTTAGATATAGGGTTCGCCAAGAAATAAATTACGAAGTAAATACTTTGACGTATTTTACTTTGATAAATTATAAAAGTTTACCGAGATATACAGGAGATGCTTTTTGTGAAACGTTCTCATCAATGTACGCTGTGCCAATAGAAAACAATGGTGTCGACCCAACACCGTGGAACGTTTGACCTAGCAGAAACATGAGAAAGTACGGATTGAAGTACGACGAGTAACTGGTGTCCAGTTCACGGTCACACAACGGATGGTCAATATCTCTGGAATCAAAATTTTATTGTACAGTAAGTGGTATTATACGTCATTACTTTTTTATTTTACTTTCAAGCTTTTAAAGTACCGTTTCTTTTAGGTCATCTTTAACAACTTGACTTACTCTATAGAACATGTGTCAGTTTTGTTTTGTAACGACCCGACTATGTGCGGGGAGATCATGTAGTGAGGTAAAGCACATATTAAAGATCCTATGGCCATTATAAATGCTCCGAAGCCAATCCATCTGCCTTTGTGGCCATTGCTGCCCCAATGACAACATGGAAAGACGGCCAACAGAATGGCAAAGTCGTACCACGACGAGATAATACCTGTGTGTGTACTGAAAACATGTCGTTACGTAAGCTAAATTTATACTAACATTCAAGTCAAAAAAGGGTAGGAAGAAGTACAATTAGGTGGTCACTTTTATTACCTCGTCATTTCGAATTCCTTTTCTATCGTGGAGAGCCCTACAGGGAAGATGGAGTTGACCACAAGTCCTTGAATGAAGGATGCTATGCCCAACATCGACAACAGCCATTTGGCATTGTGAAACTTTTGTAACCATCCTGGTGTGCAACTGAAAATAACTTTTTTGAATTACATTTTATGTACAGTTATTTATGTTTGTAAAATAAGGCTCCATGTTTAGTGTGGTCAAGGTGTAAAACTTACGCTCCAAATCCGCATAGAAGTTCGTCTTCGTCATCAGTTTCATATGCTGTTTGTATCGTGCCTGTGGACTGTGATATGTTATCGTCTTCTTTTCCGTAAAACTTTGGCCTGCCATTCGGCAATTCGTCGGCCGACATCCTGAAATGTTAAAAATGATATATTCAGTATTGTAAATCAACAGTTCAGCTACAAAATACAACGCTTTTAATATTAAAAACAATTTTATCTTTCAACATAATCCTTAAACAGTAAGTAAAGGGCGACAAAGTAGCTACTCCCAAAAGTCTCGATTGAAAACGTGAGAGAAAAATGATGAACAAGGTGATTGTAATAACTTTCAGGACCTACGTTATAAAAAATTGAAAGTAGGGTTTGCGACTTTACAATAATACGTGGTACGGTAAATATCATAAAGAAACATATAGTGGCTGGTGTAAGAAGTGGCAGCTTGTTTACTATAAAAAGAAAGTTTAAAGGCGGTTTTGGGGTTAATTTAAAATTTTAGGTAATACGCAACAGACGGTATACAACAGTTAAGTATAAATAAAGGATCTGTTTTGAACTGTGAGTGTTGTCACCTATAGTAAATCTTATAAGTGTATCATAGGTTAAGTAAAGCGAACTGTAAGCTCAAGTAAACAAATATCACTGTAACAATATGTTTGTTTGCGGAATTCTGGATGTTAAAGGGTAATATTGAATTATACTTTGTAAGAGAAGGGAAATGATCTTTTAAAATGAATAGGTGAAGGTGATATGACTTTCGGAAGTCACAACAAAAAAGTTCAGCCAACAGTCCATGTTGTTTGGCATAGTAAAATTATATTTGACAAACCAAGCGCCACAAAAATTTTACAAAAACAAATAGTGTTTTACTTGTCAACCCGTACACAAACACTAGTTAAAGTACTGTAGACACAACAGTAAACGTTAATGATAGTGAAAAGTTAACACTAACGTTTGTTGTAACGAACACGTTAATGTTCGTTATATGTACAGTTACCGTGGGCTATAAAGCACGCTTTTGAAGTTTGATAGCCGGTTGTAAAACCAAAAGGAACGAAATTCTGAGGAGATCTTAATCTCAGCAGAGAACGGTCAAGAATTGTGCGGAAAAAGAAACAAAGGTCAGTAAGCGGTAGTTGCAATGAGCAAGGTTTAGTTTTGTGTTTTTCATTACAAATTAAAAAAACTTTTGTTTTAAATTTAAACTTTAAAAATGCTTTGTCAATTTTTCAACTCATTTGACAGTTTTTGAATTATAAATCGAAATTCCTTATTATAAAAACTTCAAGCAAGTAAAAAAAACTATAAAGGCTATAAGAAATATTTTTGAAGTTTGTGAAGATGAAATTAAAATAAAAGATAAGGTTTACGACCGAATTTTTCGAATTTTTTAAACTTTCAACGTACGCGAAATGTAAAAAGTTACCACGATTACTGTTGTAAATTAATAATTACTCGAAAAACAAGCAATTTAATTGGAACGATCAACTTCCTTTTATAGCGTTTGCCATTTTAAATACATTTTTTAATTCAAATTTGTTAAAAATAAAATTTATAAAAGAAAAAACAGAAGTGAGCACAATCTGATAAGACTCAGACTTATTGTTAGAAGAATTAAATAAATTAAAATACAAAAGTTTTCTTTAAACATTGAACTTTAAGGCTGCCCTTTTAAGTACACCCACCTATTACTTTTATGAGCTGCAAACCTGTGTTATTATGCATTTTTGGAATTTAAACTGTCATTTGTTTACAAACAATCGAAACTATCAATGAAATTAATAACATAAAGAACAAGAAAAGGCGGCTTGGCGTCTGGAAAGTGTAATTCTGTAGGAAGGCTGTTCAATCATTCTGGAAGTGTTTCTACAAACGGCTGCCACTATGGGGCTCTAATTAGTTACGATCCAAGGGGAAGATAGTTTCAAATTTATGATAAAATGTATTACTTTGTCAAATCTATAATAAAAATCATTTTCAAAATAATTTAAATTCATTAAAAACTGTCAGGTTTTTGATGTTTTAAAAGTTGTTTTAGTCTGCCTTAAATTAGGTAATGGAATTTGTTACGCTTTGATTCAACGGTGCCGACAATAGTAAATTGTTATAGATTACTTCCGTTATGAGCAAATTCATTAGTAATTGTGTACTTATACATTGGAGTATATACGGAAATAAAGTTTAAAGTTACATACAATCTTATGAATAAAAACATTTTATTTCCTCATTCATTCAAAACAAACACCTTCATAAACGGAAATGGAAGAGGTGTTAACCTTATTACTACTATTAAAATATCACCAAATTACTATAGAAAATATGACATTACTGCGATAACCGCCGCCAGTGTGTCTGCAAGGTATAAGAGTGTTTATTTGACATGGTCAGTCTTCAGAATACAGAGCCTATTACAATACAAAAGGATCTTTAAGCGGTAGACTTAGTTGGTCTACTACACATGCTAACCAGAGTGTTTACAGTTCAAAAAGATTAACGCGGATACACAATATAAAAGGGCCTACAAGGCATAAAAATCAGTATTTCCCCACAATATTAAAGTCAACAAGTCTGCATTACATAGTCAGTCTACAAAGCATAAAAGGCAACGTTTCTACACAACACATCGTCTACAGCTTTCGAAAATACGAATGTGTAACTCGCGAAAACAAAAGTTATGATGAATTTGTTGCGGTTCCCAGGTATTTCCATCGATGCGAGATTGGGAAGACTTAAGCGGTTATTCCCCTTCCACTACTCTCTCCCCCTCCCTCCAAAACCCGTTCTTCACATACCTTAAACACGGTGGAAAAGTTTTAGAGAACACAAAAAGGCTGGAACATTGTTTTGGCTAAGAATTTGATAAGTAAAATAACAAGGTGCTTACTATTTAATATAAAGGTAAGCTGAAAAGTACGACACAATTCAAACTCTAAGGGCACAGAAATTCACAATTTAAACCCTAAAGGCACAGAAATTAAAAACCGTTATGATTACAATTACAGACCCGCACTCGAACCACCGTTCTCCGTTTGATCATTAATACAATAAAAAGTACAAAACGCCTGTTTTCGGTCGTTTACATCGGGTGTAATAGTCTCCAAAAATCATCTGGGAGCGATTATTTTGAAAAACATAACACCGGAAACAAATTTATTATTGAGAGAGCGGAATACCGAGATGCTTGGAGCAGAATCGACGGAAAGGTAATCGGAATGGCGGATTGTAATATTGATCACCATGCAACTGTAGAGCGGGTGGGGTTGCGAAATTTATTGTGGATGTAAAAGGGAAAGTAAATGTACAAGATGTATATTTTAAGTCATTTTGTAATTCTAAAATTTGGATTTTGGGTAAGGCAAAAAGAGATATTGGTGCCAGGGCCGGGCGCGAGGGGGAGGGGGACGGGGGGGGTACCTCCCCCCTCCAGAAAAAAATTTTCGAAAAAATTTGAACGTGGTCCTCCCTGTGGATTTTTTGGACCTCTGCCCCCAGACCAAAAGTCCCCGCCCGGCCCTGATTGGTGCTATAGGTTTTTAGGTAACAATTGAAGAAATTATAACAAAAATCAAAAAGTAGAAATGAGAAAGGTTGGTAAATGTCATAAAAATCACAAAATTAAACTTCTAAACAAACCATATTACTATACAAAACGAACCGAACGTTGAATAACATTGTGTTTCTAACTATTTCATCAAGGTTTAATTGCTGAAAAAGCTTACAAAACTTTTACGTCTTTCGGAAACATTACTTGACAATAAAAAGTACTGGCACTGTAATTACTCCCAAAGTACAGGTTACACTGTAAACTGACAATTACTTCCATTCATCACATTTTATCAACATAAATGTTGCCAAAATGTAAACAAAGTGGTTATTTGAATTTTTTTACAGTTTGTCAGTAGTTTTTTCAGTAAAGGTTGGCAGTAAAACCTAAAAGATACTATTAAAAGTGTAAAACACTATGAATGTTGATGTCCGTGTGATTTTAGATAGTTTAAGGAGAAGGAGTCTAAAGATTATAAAAAACACACTTGAGAATTTTGATTGTAATGTAAATGTTTTTCCAGAGTTAGTCAACTTGAATTAATCTCTTTATTTATTTTCATTGTTCTACTGTCTAGTAGAAAGTATTTTAAGCTTTACATGTTGTATTTATAATTACGTTAAAAACTGGGAATGATGTTTGATGGTCTTGTTCACTACAAAGTTCAATTCATTAAAAAATATTCCCAGTAGACTCGATTAACTATAACAATATGTCAGAATGCCAAAAGTACATATATATCCAAATTCCTGTCGATCTCGGCGGTAAAGAGGCTGTACAGAAGAGGTGCATCACCTCCAGAAGAGTTTAACAAAAAAAATTTTGGTGATTGGAGCAGGTCCGTTGCAACGAATTTTTCTAAGGGGGGGAAATAAAATAAAAAAAATTTTTTGTCTACCCCCTTTTTAAGGTTAAAACCCTCCTCCCTCCTTCAGCATATGTTGTTGGTCCATAATTCCCCCTCCCCACCCCCCCCCCTTTTTTTTTAATAATGCTTGACCACTCACCCAACCTTAACTACAGTATCCAAATTATACATTTTTTATGTTAATATTTTTTCTGTATTATAATAGGTTTTTTCAAGCTAGGAAGTAGCCACACAACGTAGCCGAGTCTATTGGATCTGTAAAAATGCACGTGTACCACTCTGGACATAATAGCATATAATTAAGTGTATAAATAAGCTTGTTACCTGTTTTGAAACATGACTCGTAGTGTAAGAAACTACTTTTTACAAATGTGCAATTTGATATATTATTCATTAATCTTCATCTAACTTACTGCTTCTTATGACTTTGCAAAACATTTTAGATTTGTTTCTAATCTGTTATACTTAAAAGTGGCATTAAAGTGACAAATGTATATCACACAAGTGTACCTTTTGATCTTTGTCTTTTGTTGCGGTTATAACTTATTTTTTGTGATTGTGATAGAAAAGTCATACTTACAGCTACTGTACTTTTTGCAACTTTAGTTTTTGGTTACTGTAACTAAAAGTTACTGTAGCTGGTCTAAAATATAGATTTTTTATTAAAGTTTTGTGAAACCTTCCATAATCAGCGTTATGTTAGTTATACACATATGAATGTATGTTAGTTATATATGAATGTACGCCTCCGTTTTTATCTACCGTAGTAAAAAACCACTGTCTTCAAACATTTTAACATTAACTTTGAAAAGATTTAACATTATACGTTATTAAGATGTCAATTGGACTGCCATGGTTTGTTTTTGTAAATTGGACAGCTTTTACATTAGGAATGGTATCAAACGTATTGTTGATATTCGCTGTAAAGAAACGAACCACGAGTACAGTACGGTGCTACGGTAATATGGTACTTTCCAGCTCTATTATGGACATAATCTACATTTGTGCCGTTGTTTCTTGTCATCACGTAAGTACTGTAGAATTTTTATATTAGTTTCAAGTTAATAAGTAATATTGTCATGCTTATGCAATTTATATATTTGGTCAAAATATATATATTACTTGACTTTTCAGCAAATCCAAGTGCACGGTCATGTGTTTATCATAATGTCATATGGATTAGAATACTTCCTTCTACCGTGGTGGTGGCCTCAGAATCTTTTATCCGGAATGGAGTATTTTGTTGTTGTTTGGGCGGTCTTAATACTACCGGCTCAGTTTTACTATAGGTATTATCTGCTAACTACAGTAGAGTAAGTTTTTGTCAAGATGCTGTAAATAACAAAACATTTCTAACTCATGAAGTTTTAATTTAAAGAAGTAATTAAACATTCATGTATATACTGTAATTTTTAATATTGTAAAGCATTTTATATTAATTTCAAATTGTTTAGTCACGACCGACAAAAAGACTGGAAATTATTCAACCTTGTAGCCATATCATTCGTTCTGACATGGCCAACATACATTCTTACCATTGCTTGTCATAAACAGACAAAAGGTAGAGGTTTAGAAGAATATCAAAAGCTTCTAGACCCGGTTTTCTTTGATTCTCATGGCAATACTCATATGACTGCGGCTATCGATTTTGTAAGTTTTCAAAATACGGCTTTTATTTGTATTCTCAAAAGAAATTATAAAAATTATTTAGTAAAACCCTCAAGTATAGGTTTAGAATCATAGATAACACAGATGACGTTTTGGAAAGGTTATAAAAGATAAATTTCAGAAAGATTGGGAAGCGATAGTAGGTTTCTTTTACTCTGGTGCTATGATGTCTGGAGCCTATTTTGTAGCACTGTACTACGGCTACATGTCATTCAAGAAAATCGTACCAGAAGGTGGCGTGGTAACACAAAAAGTTCAAAAATTACGTGTTCAATTTATGAGAAATTTAATTGCACAAGTAAGTTGACACAGTAATTAGAAACTGGGCATTGTAATTACAATATATGACAACATTTTGTTGACAGAGCAAAGAATACTATAGTGTTGAAACAAAGAGTAAGGTAGATTTGTTCGGTTGAACATATCATTGTTGATTACCAACGTTACAACAATAATAACAAATCTTACAGACCATCAACAGCTACATCTTTGCCGTGTTTCCTATGTTGATAATAGTAGCATGTGTATTCATTGGCACAAACACAAAGCATTACGGTATTGGCATAATGTTAGTTAGTGCTTGGTGCCCTTTTATGAATGCTGCTTTGTCCATTATTATTATACGACCTTACCGAGAATTCGTTTTTGGTCGATTAATGAAAAAGGGAGAAGAAACGACCATAGACAAGAAGACTAGCATGAGCAAAGTAGGCAGTACGAGCAAGAAGTCTTACATATAATACATTTAGTAGCCTCTATAATAGAATATTTATAAAAATGTAAAATGCACAGTCTAAAAAGTATATTATATGTTACGTTAAATCTTATTTTTTACTTATGTGTTTTCTCCTAACTTATACTACATACTCAAATGTGTTTTTACCTATTTTCCAACGCAATTAACCTTACCTCACCAGTAACTCCCTAATGTTACAATTCATCCGACTCTCATTCACAAGTTACTACGACGTTTATCATGTATATATTCCCTTCGAATAAACAAAACTTTGGCTATGATTCAGATTCGTACGATTCAAAAGTAACGGTATAATACATAACTACCGCGACATTCAGACAAAACAAAAGAAATGGCAAATGCGACAAAAATACGAAAACGTTGTAATATAAATGAAACCATAGCCTGGTGGTGGGCATACCATTCGCAACATGCGGCTACACTGTCTACTGATTGTTTTGTTGTTTGTTGTGGTAGAGGGTGAAGATCGCCACGAAGATGTAGTGATAAAGGGTGGTGATCACGAAGATATAAATGGTTTCTTTCAGAAGATGAAGAGTTTGATTAGACAAATTAGGTAAGATGTGAATACTTAACATCAAGAAATTTTTAAGGGTATCTAAATTATTTGTACATAGTAACATTGTCCGACAATACTCATGACAATGTTGATACATACGAAACTTTCAGAAAGGTCAAGATTACCAAAGTACGGACGAAGGAAAATAGCAAAACCCATACAGTCGCTCCTTTTCTTGACTATGACGTCTCAGAAAAAGCTCCAGCCCATAAACGACAAGTCAAAGTCCACACCCAAAACCAAGAAAAGACCAACCGCAAAAACAAGCCTTCCCTATTAGACAATAACACCATTCAGAAGCCGCAAGCAGTATCAGACAATCGACAAATTCCTATCCCTGGTACTGGCTACCCTCAACCACCGTATCTGCCATCTACTGGAGGATTCAACATCTTTGGCTATCCAATTATCATACCAATACCGTCATGGATGCCGTCCTGGCCATTTGGTCCAAGTTATCCATCACCACCACAACCTATTCCAGGCTATGTCACTCCACCTTATCCTATACCTCCAACAGGTCCTGCTGATAACACCACTACTACTATCGAGACTACTACGGTAAACGCTTTTAACCTAAAGTAATGGTTCTAGACCTTATCAGTTTTATGATCACTATTTCGTAAAATTATGCCATGAACTTCTTAATAACGCTAAAATATTGTAAAATAATTCTTGTAGACAACTGAAACAACCACTGAGACCACAACTACAGAAGATACAACCACTACAGAACATACTACAACATCTGAAGACATTACTACGACCGAAACTACTACAAAAACAACCACGTCTTCTAACACGACAACCACTGAGACTCCTGAAACTACCCCAGGTGCTAACACGACCGTACCAGGCTATGTTACACCCTACCCAATACCTACTACTACTACATGTCATTCTCCAACCTACCCACCATGGCCACCAGGTCCTGACACTACAACTGATGTACCTACTGAAACTACTACGAATGTCACTACTGTAACTACACCAGGCGCGTACATCATTCCTAACAGTACCATTACAGCAGAACCCATTACTTCCACACGTAAGTTATTACATTAAAATATGGTCATCAACTATACCTTTTTTTATGTTTTATCCAGCCATTTAATTTTATTATTAATCGTTATTCCTTTTCTCAATTTCAGAACCAAGTGCATCATCGGCTGTTACAATCGTATCTTTATTGAATTGCATTGCTTTGTGTTTGCTCGTAAAATCATCCTGAATCTGTGAATTGTGTTTGTATATTATGGAAGACAACGTTATATCAACATATCTTGCAATTTAATAAACGTATTTTAACTTATTTAGTATAATAGAACTTAATTTCAATATTTTTATCAGTATTTTAAATCATGTAACATTTTGTTTATTATTAACCAGGAGATGTTCCTTGTATGTATGTAGTTATTTAACTTTGTTTGTCGTATCGTCTTGTCTTATGTTAAAATATGACTCAGCCTTAAGTCTATTTTAAGGTCGTCTTGTGTGTTCATGTTCTTTTCTATGCAATTCAAATTTTATATCGCATTTCAAGCTCTTTAAACATTACTTCAAAGGTAAACCAACCTCAGGCGCATTCAAATTTTCGCTCGTTATCCAATATTCAGGCTTAACCATGAGCGATCGTTATTGAGCCTATTTCAATGACAATCATTAATTTTTAGCATACTAATACTAATGCAGTTTACCTTTTTATTATGATTTTTTACATTTTTTTGAAATTAAAATGATCTTTAAAGTTAAATAAGTACAATTCTACTTTCTCCCACTACCAGTTTAGCAAACTCCAAGCTTTTTCGCTTTGAAGTCTTGTAAACCGTATTTACTCTGTACTTTTTGCGCTTACCGAGTAAAAAAATTTGCATCACGCAAAAAAAACCGAGTCGCCAGCGCTCTCAGCCCTCCGGCAATACGCGTCCGACGTCTTCAACGGGGCCGTCAAGCCTTGGACAAACAGTCCGAGCAGGAATGCGGTCATTCTTCACCGAGCCCTGAGGGCAAAGGAGAAGGTGTATGTAAATCAAGTTTCTCCCCGAAGAAGCGCGTCCCCATGAATCACGAAATGTCGGGGGTCAAAAACTAGCCGGATTCGTAACGTTTTATTACTTTTATCAGCAGAACCGTCCTTCTCGCCCTCTGGCCATTATTGCCTTTCCAATTATTTATGCGCCTTTGATATGTGTTGCATTGTATAATTATTCGTGTTAAAGCTGGTTTTTTCTATTTATTTGTTTTAGTAGTAGTATTATAACCAAAATTGTTTTAAAATTGTTTTTTGATAGGTTTAATTGTCACCTTTTTAACCACCTTTTTTAATTAGAAAGCAATTTTGAGTATTTATTCTCGGCTAATTGAAAACCAGATTATGTATAATCTTTTAGAATACTGTGAGTTAAAAACTGTTTATTAGTGGTGAGGTGCTGTTTATCTTTATTTAAACCAAAAATGTTTTATCGATTATCGCCACGGTTTTATCAACTGTTTTTGTCAGCATTCCAACCTTTTCCTCTCTCTTGCTTCGTTTTTTGCATCTAATCATTGCTATTTTTATAAGTTCAAAATTATTTTAAATACCTTTTAAATTATTTTTTATTTTAAATCCCAAAGATAGTCAGCTTACTATAAAACTTGAAATCATCTTTTACCCTATGTGAATTAAAGAATTATCAGAAACCCCTATGTTAATCATGCTAAAGGGTATTTACTTTTGTTTGAAAGTTTTACAATTCAAACCTTGTTTCGGCTTCGGATTACGATTGCGCAAACCGTTTTCCTCTCCTCTGACCTGCGATTAGTTTTAATTCAGGTCAGTTGAAGATTCGATCCTGTGTGTTTACCTTGGCCAATTCAAGAGAGAATAGTTATATCACATGACTTTCGTCAACCTATGTTGTCAACAGCAATTCTGTTTCTGCCATCTTGGCTCTAAGCGATCACTTTTTGCTCCTTAAACTCAACAAGTTATATTTTACCATAAAAACTTTAAAGTAGCCATGTAGCAATATTTTTCATTTCAAAAAGTATATTTGAACAACTTCGTATTCTCAAATCATTTTTCGAATTTCCATCGTGTTATTGGTATTTAAATTTGTTGTGACGTGAAAAAACCATTATACCGCTTGCATCGCAATCAAAAACAGCGAGACTCAGCAAACAAAACTTTTGATCCTGGTTTCTTCGCTCGCCGTCTTGCCTTAGACCCTTAGGCAGAAAAGGAAATAAGATTTTTCGTAAGCCATTTGTATGTATAACTATGGGAAAAAGCAACAATCGCGGATTTGAATTGGATGGGTCTTGTAAAACGCGTGACATATCATGATATTACATTGCAGCTTTTGCTGTATAGGCATTGTCCCGTCTTTTCATAATGTCTTGTTACCGAAATTGTCAAAGTACAAGATCACACAATTTACAAAATGACCACAACGTTTTTTCCATCGTTTTAAAGCCTACAGAGTTAAATTTCAGAGAAAGCAGTAGAGCTGGGTCAATATACCAACTCCGGCAGTTCCTCGCCTTTACATTCAGCCAAATGGCGTACTCGGTTTACAACTATAACTACCAAGTTGCAATAATATTTGCTATATTAATCGCTGCGTTATTACTATTGGCAGCTGTTATACTCGGACTTTACTATGCCTTTGTAGCCAGTGTAAGTAAAAGATTTAATCGTTTTTTAATTGACAAGCATATTCTTTAAAGCTTACTGTAGTCTCGCTAAGTTGTAACTATAATAAAGCTTACAACTCTATAATATTATATTTTAGACTAGAAAACCCAAAGGCGGCAGCAGATTCACACGAACGCCAAGCACCCTACCACCAAAATCTCAATGGCAACAACCACAACAAGTATTCCAACCTCAATATCCACCACAACAATACCAACAAGACTACGGACAACCACAAGACTATCCTCAACAACAATATGGATATGATCCAAGACAACAACCTCAAGAGTAAGATAAAAATTACTGGTTTATAAGCTATTCAAAACACTTTCTGTTAAACATAATAACGACATCCTGATCATTCCGTGTAACACAAGTAATATTAAGTTAGGTATATAAATATTTACAAAAAAATTTAGGTACCAATACGATCCAAGACAACAACCAGACAGCGGAAACTATTCGCAAGCCGCGCCCGCAAATCAAGGTTATCCATCAGAAACGCTTCACACAGTCAAAGTCCGTGAATTACAGCCAGAATACATCTATCAACAAGTAAGACAATGTCCTGAATTTTACATTACCTATAACATATACCATTTCACCTAAAGAATAACTTTTTGCTCAATATCAAAAAGACAACAATCACATGTCGTTTTACGTCTTAAACTTGTGTAGTAATTTTCAGAAAAATTTATTCATTTCTTTTCAGGGCCCAGTGACATGGACCACTACCCAAACAGTGGTAGATCCCAACAACTACAACCAAGCAGTACAACAAGCCCAAGCTAACGTACCATCGTATCACATGTCGTCAGTCTAAGCTCATAATGCCTCCGGAACCATATTTTTATTTTATATATAAAATACGCATGTGTATATTTGTTTTCAAAGCCCCATTTTGACAAAATTTTGTTTTTTCTCCAATTTCAATTTTAAAACTAAAAATTTTGTTAAAACTGGGTCGATTCAATGTAAAAACTTCTGATTACCTATGTGTCTACTGCCATTTTCCTTTATATAACCTTACTTAATACCTATTTTTACTTTATTTGAGTTTTACCGTAATTCGTAGTTTATATTGCTCTGTGACAAAATACATCAATAAATAATAATAAAATAACATTGAAGTTGATAAATAGTAATGAATGTAGTAGAAAATTGTAGTAAATTAGCCAGTACATTTACGAATTTACTTTACGATCCAATTTTTTGTTTTCGTGGCAAAACACAACCTCATGTTCAGCCATTTCGTTCAATGCTAAAAAAGTTTGGCATTCTGTTGCAAGAAAAATGGGGATTTTTTGAGAATTTATCAATTTTGACGAATTTAAGGTTAGTTTGACGTGAAAAAGCCGTCTATAAGGCTTCTAAAAGTTTTTGATAGTTAATCGATGTATGTTTAACATTTTTTATTTTTTAAAACGTCATAATGGCATGTAAAACGTTGGTAAATGCTCTCTAATTGATCTTATTTTAGGGAAAATGACCTCAAACTCGGATGCGGGTTATAGTTTGCGCAAAAGAACGAGGATTTTGTATGTAGATCAAGCTCCTTCAACTTCCAACGATCAGAATGAATCCTTAGAATACATCAGAATGTCAAAAGAAGCTCCAGTTAATTTAGATTTGATAGATTTGGACGTTCATAATGGTGTATTGATTAAAAGGTCTCGCAGATCTTTTGAATCAAAACTAGCAAGTAGTCGATTTGATGATTCTAATAGTTATCGGACAAAGAATTTGTACAAGTTGAACAATTACAATAGCCCTGAATCTGATGATGGAACGCCAAAGAAGAAACGAACCATTCAGAACAAAGAAGACTCGGATTATGATGTTGATGTAGATTATTTTGAGTCAGAAGACGTAAGTTATTTGTTAGTTGTTTTATTCACGTCTTAGGAATCAAATGAGAGTGATATCGAAGTAGCATCAAATGCTCATGAAGCACTCGAATCTAGTCTAGATTCCCCATATTACAATACTCCAGAAGTTGAACAGGTTAGGAAGGAATTACGACAAATATTTGAATACAGCACCTTCACGAGAGACTATTACGTGCCTGAAAAGAAGAAAAAGGTAAGGTAAACTTTTATAAAATATGGTGGTATCTCTTTTTAATGTTTTTATTTTAAATAAAGCATTAATTTTAGTGCTATGTCTACTTTTACATGCTGAGCAACATGGAACAGTCAATTTTAAAGCGCTACGAAGACAGTGATTCTCCCAGTATGGTAATTCTGGGCATCGACAAGACGGACGACAAGAATGAGACAGTCTTATGTTCACTGTTGTTTTGTAATGAAGAAGATAATGTTAACGAAAGGCAGTTCCTAGTGTTAGCAGGGTGGCGTGGTAAGGATGATTATGGGTCGATTAACACTGTATTGTCTTGCGTTTGGAAAGTATTAAAAGATCTCAATTTGGACTTGAGATTGCTATGGAAGTACCGATATATTGCTAATAATTATGGGTATATTAATGACAAAGTTTGCGTTTTCTGTAATGAAAAATGTAAGGGTGAAGAGGAGAATACCGACCGGAAGAAAATATTGGACATTCCACTCGACAAAGTAAGTTTTTTAGTTATTAATTGTATAAAGTACGTTATAAATGAACCATTACGTAAATGTTAGTTTTTCAAATTTGCTTTATAAACAAAGAAAAGTATTTTATTGGTGATTAACCGTTTATTTTAGGTATATGTAAGGCTTTTCGATCAAAAACTCGAAATTGTGAACAAGTTGATAAGACTTATGGAGAAGTTCTTGGTACACGATTCTAACACTGAATTATACTACAAAATCATTGGGAAAAAGAAGCTCTATATGTCCAGGTCAAAGTTGAATTACAAGTTCAGGAAAAACCATTCGTACTCTGCTCTCGATCTCTTGAGTATGGCCGAAAGATTATCAGGTAAGCGTTTCCTTTTTGTGACGTTTTAATTTAGGTAACACTTGCTTTGATATACAGATAACTTTTTAATTAAATTTTGTTTTTAGAAGTCAGGTCCACTGCTCCGGAAGTCGAAAACATCGGCAAAATGTTGTTATTGTTCAAACGTCTCATCAAGGGCACATTCGAGAGAAAAAAGAATCAAGAAATACACGTGAACGTCGTTACATCTTCTAAACCGTGTGTTCGATGTGAGAAGATGATTGAATACATGGAAGAGTTTGGTCGAAATGAGATGGACACTTATATTCATCTACTATGTCATCATTCGGCCGAGATATCACGAATGAACCAAGGATTCAGTGTCAGCTACGAGAACAAGATTGAAAAGTTGCACAAGGACTTTGCTGTTGCCAAAACGAAACAATGCTGTAGAGACGGGACGAAGAAGGACGCTATGGCAGCCCGGTATCTGGCTGTGAATACCTTTTTGCCAGAATATGTCAAAAAGAACGACGCCGACAATTCGAACGCTGCCATTCCAGAATTGACCAAGGCTGATGATTCTCCGAACAAAAGTAGTGGAAGTAAAAACGAGACGTCAGCTGAATATATTGATGTGATCGATCACGAAGAAAACGTATCAACTTGATATTGTTCCAATACCTCATCTTTCAAACTGATGCCAATTTAATTGTAGGTTTATATGTTGATCAAGACTCGGATAAATGCCATTTAAACTTTTATTTTGTTCACCTTGCCTATAGTACCTCGGCTCTCTTTCATTGTAACTATCAAAATGTGTTTACTTTATTGGTCAGAAATTAAGAAGTGGTCAGAAAAACATTTGCTAGATTATTTCTCTAAACTTTTTGGCCACTTTAATATTCTTCATCAAATTATCTGTTTTTAAAAGTTTTGTACAGTTTATGATTACGATGACTGAGCAATTTTGATTTTATATTGTTATTGAAAGCTAAATATCTAATAAAATTTGTTTTGAAAGTTTGCGGCCAAACTTTGGAAAAATGTTTGTAAAATAATAGATGAAAGTTTGTATAATATTTCAATCACAAATAATAAAAAACGACGATATCGTACAGAAAACTTTATAATACATTTCTTTAGAATTTGCACAAAAATATACAAGGATAAAAGGTTAGCTTTACAAATATTAATAGGCTAGTCTAAAACCAGGTTTTACGGGAGATACTCGTACTCGTCTACATTGTCTGTTCTTTGTAGGTAATGTTTTTCTATCAGGCCTTCGATGCATTGCTTGAGGAAGGGGCGGTCGGGCACAAAACGGTCAGCTATTGAGGTTACTACCTAAATCAGGCTTTAAATAGAGGGTTTAACAGTGCCGTTTAAATATTCATTTTGCTACAACATGAACATTATTAAGTGTTATTATAAGTAGGCTCGTCTGATAATAAATCAAAAATTTACCCAATCAACCAGATCTTGATGTTTCATGGCTTTTCTCGTCTTCATAGCTCTGACTATGGCACATTCTACTGCCACTTTTCTGTCTTGTTGGGTTTCTCGGTTGGATGGCATTGGATTGTTCTCATTTGCTTTCGAAACAATCGTTGGAGGTTGTAGATGCACACGTGCTCTCAGTGCTTCAAACCCGGAGTTCAAGTGTACCGGCGTTTCTTCAGTGTAACAACCTTGCTGAAACAGCTTATCATAATTACTAAAATAAGACTTTCACTTGGTCAATACTAATGTTCGGTATTTTAGAGTAATAATTATATTATGATATTAGAAAACATTTAAAAATAATATGAAAACTAACCTTTTCCTTGACCTTGAGCACCTTGAAGTCGATGAGGGCCTTCAGAGACGAACAAACATACTCGAAGCTGATCTGAGTTACTTCAATCAACTCCTTGATCGTCATAACATCTCTTGTTTCGAATTCCAGTAGTATCATCGCTTGTGGTACCGTCATAGTTACCGTACAACGTTTCGAACCTAGTCGTATCACAACGTCAGCTGTACTCACATGATATGCGAACTTCAGAATCCTACCAGCATGCTGCTTTTCGTAGAACTTCTCGATGGATTCTGCGTATGCCTTCAGTGATTGTGGTATGTTAATGTTCTTGAGGGCAGGGTCCTCGTTTGAGCAAATCACTGGCCAAGCACACGTTTGTATTACTGTAAACTCATTTTCACGGTTGTAAGGATCACAGTGGAACTCGGTATCCTCGTGATATGTCAAGTTCAACTGTCTACTCTTCTGACAATCTTGATACATCCTACTCAGTTTGCCAGCATATTCATGGCCACAAGTGTCTCTCAGCTTCTCGATCATCATCTGCTCCAATTCCATTGACACGGAGAGCTTATTCAGAAGTCTGATGGCAAACATTCGTTGGAAAATCTGAAATTAAATGGTTTTATTGTTAAACAATCGAATATTATTTGACTCTAGCTAGAAGGTAACAAGTCATTCAGATATGAAACATCAACAGCAATACTAACACCAAAATGAGTACCAATCCGACCTCAAAAATCAACCAAACATGTTGTTTCTTGAGAAACCCGATCAATTCTGAATCCATCGACCATAATTTGACCGGATCGACTGGTTGTGACAACGCTTTATCAACAACTTGTGTAAACCCCGTTAAAGACGGAATGACGGTTGTTAGTAATCTTAACTCCAACAGTGATTTCGACCAGTCGGTTATGAATTGAAGAGAATTCGTTTCTAACATTGGCTCAAGTTTCGCAATATTGTAGCTAAACTTTGGCGGAGGACTTTGTTCTATCCTTTTCCGTTTCATCGCTTACGCTATAACCTACAACAACATTATAACAGATTTGATTCGTTTTTATAACAAAGTAAACCGGTAAACGTCCTTAACAAATCCATCTCCGTTATTATTCTGATAATAACACAGTGTTATTCACAATAACCAGCCACATATTACTCTACACATTACATGCTACACGAAAACAGATGCCCTATAAACTACGTTTGTCAGTTGTACTACACGATACTCTAACTGGTTTGACGGCAATTAGTTGGTTGGCCTGCCAACCACGAATACACGCAAACAATTCGAATACCAGAAGACTGTTTTACCGTCGGATTAACACTTTAATTACCCAAGAATTTCGTGGAAAAGAATTTTACGTCATACAGGTAGCTTGGAATTCAAGGAAACTAACATAAAGCTACTATAAGTTTCATAAACAACTTGTTAACATCATGTACAAAACTACCTACATTGATATCACCATTTAACTGATTGCAAGATCAATAAACAAAACACTTCTAGTTACCAAAAAAAGGATAGTAGAATGAATGAAAGTAGCTTAAGACGTCAAAATTACCTTGTGAAACGTGTCCTTGTCCCTGATGTACCTGAATATTGTTACAGCTTCATCCAGCTTCGTATCGATGTCAATTGCTTTGTGTTTGGAACTTCTTTTCAGCAACAAGTCCATGTGTCGCGACAACATTTTGGCCGCATAAAACTTTTCTCCTTCTCTTTCTTTATTCACAACACTTTCAATTGCCTGAACCAATTATATTAAAGCAGCATGTTAAACATAAAATCATTTTTAATATTTTACTCACATAAAAGATAGCGTTTGAAGCTTATAAAACCAAAAACTTACTCTTCTGAGGGCATGTTGAATATACACGGCATCGCTGAAGACTTCTTTGTTAAACTTTGTGTAGAAAGCATGTTTAGCACAAGCAGCTTCAGTAAACACGGATGGATTCAAGAAGAGTCCTCCAAGATGATTCTCTAAACTTGCAGCCACCTGCTTCTCGTATTCGTTAACCAGAATCTGAGCAGCATCTGGGAAGTAGTCCAGGAGAATGTAGGTCAGTCGGAGTTCTGAAAGTTGGAAATAAATATCGTAATTCACATTATATAAATCATCTAAATACATATAACATGTATATGTTTTTAGTTTTTTGAGTGTAATTGTCTTTGTATAGATAATATCGTCCGTCTATACTTACCAGCCTTTTTCTCCAGCTTCACATACTCAGGAACAACCTCATCAAACCGTGGTAATTGTTCTAAAATAAAGATCTTCCTCAGAAGTACCAGCAGCTTCTTCACAGTCTGAATGAACAACATATTAGACGCCAATATGTCTTCGTTCTCCAGAATCTTTATGATCTTTGTCATGTAATCGTACATGTTGTAATGCACCAACTTCGTGGCCAACATCTCACGAAAGTAGGCTCTGTTATCTTGCAAGAACCTGTCCTCAAAGATCTCGACGTAGAAGTTGAGTTGAGGTGGAGAGGGGTAGTTGGGTCTAACACACAAGTTTGGGTCAAATGAAGCCAGCATTGTTCTACGTTCATGATCTGAGGCAAAGCATACCTAAAATGAAAAAAATATTTAAAATTCGATAATAACTGTGTAACAAATTTATTGACAAATTTTACAGTAATTACAAAAACAAAAATGAAATCTTACGCTGATGTACGAATCCAAAACCTTAATAACATCCAAAGTAGGATAAGTAACATATGACACATCCCTCGTCTGAATGAAGACTGACCAAATAACCTCGTACAACCTATCTTTCAGCGGCAGAATCAACTCTTTCCTCCATAAACGTCTTGCCGTCTAAAAGTAGTCAGAATACAGAAATTTAAAAAATATTGGTCATAACTAAACCAATTTGCTCATTAAACCAACAAAAGATCCTCAAAAGAAAACTGACATTTTGAATCTGAAAGTTGTTTCCTTCCATATCCTCCTCCAACTCGGCGAACTTCCTTTTAAATGTTCGCACGTTCGTGTCCTTTAACATCGTTCTATTCAAATATCTACAAAGCTGATTCACGTAGCCCGCACCCAAATCATATCTGTACCAGTAAGTTGAATAAGCGTGGAGAAGGTCAAGACCTTTCAGTCCAGACAGGTCCTGAAAATACGTAAAATCATCATAAAGAAACCTTGGTTTTTGACTACCAGTACATTAACTTTTTACAAGCAGTATAGTAAAGTAATCTTAGTAATGTTTTAAAACAAAACTTAATACAATCAATGTCAAGCTCACCTGTGATATCGCTTGGACTCTGTTTTTAAAGAAATCAATCAGTTTTCCATATAAGTCAATGCTGTACTGTCCAACACATAACTCGTATATATCACTAGAATTTTAAGTTTTTTACTTTAACCTATTAAAATGATCACCAATCATAGACAATCATAAAATAATAAAAAAGACAAATTCTGTATGTGGTATACCTAAACTTTTAATAATATTCAAAAAAAACTTACAAAAACGAATTGTTCCAAGCCGTTTGATCCAATGGCCTAGTTTCCATGACATTTGATACCACAAGTTGCAACCTGCCCCAATACTCATCAAAGTGCACTATCTTCTTGTGAGCCATAGTAGTATAGCTATTAGCTACAGACTCTATATGATCTTTCTTTGTCATGTTACTACAAGGCACAATATCCTGATCTACTTCCATTAACTGAAAGTGTTATTAGTTAATAAATATTTTTTAATAACAGCGCAACCAGCTAAGCGATAATCATCCTTTTTCATAAATTTGTTAACACTTTCATTAATAAAAAATTTAAAAAAACAACATTTACAAAGAAAAACAAATATATTACCTTTCCTATCAGCTGAAAACAACAGATCATAGCAAAGAAGGCATAGCAAACAATGATAAAATCTCAAACTTAGAAAGAGTAAAACTGAAAAGAAAATCGAAGAAACCCTCCAGATGCGATCCAGACGAGAGATCCAAATTTAATAAACGGGTTTTTCTATGGTTATGACCTCATGAATTATGACATTTCTGTTTCATTTACAAACATCAATATCATACATAAACTTGTTCAAAACATATTTATCACAAGTTTTATTTTTGTTTAAAAATCAAAATATATTAAATACAAGATATTTTAAGCTAAAATAATACAAAATTTCCTCAACAAACCTATATCAAGCTTATACCAAAGAATGTGATAAAAAAACGTTGAAAAAGAAAAGAGATTAACATTAACGTCTTACGAACACAAAAAACAAATCACCTGATATAAAAGATCTTCAGAAAGTATTTTTCGATTCAATTTTGACACTTCGCCTTGTGACATATCGTTTTTTTCTTAATTTTCGAAGAAATTCGGGATGTCGACGTGGGAAATCGTCGTCAATGGATATCACACTGATTTTTAGATAACAAAGTGTCCGTTTTTATAACTTTGTTAAAAGTAACTGTATATTTTTTAAATTGTAGTTTCCCGGTGTTTGAGTTTAATGTACGGGTTTGTGTCTTTTTTAATTATCTTTTTCCTTTTTTGTGGGAATCGCTATAAGTTTTTGTTTTATGATATTTTTGTCTTTATGTTGATATGCATCGTTTGTTTTATTTTAGAGCGGTAAAATTAAACCAAGTTGTTTTAAAACTGGATTCAGCTATACCTAAAGACCTAACTTTGAAATTGCCAGAAAAGTTAGGCGGCATGGAGGTTCAGTGGTCAGGTAAGTTAAACACTTGTTGAAAGTGCATAAATTATGTTCTAAATAAGTTAAAACCATGTTTATCAAATTAATAAGCGAATATTTTAGATTTGCGTCAAAATGCAAGTTCATTGGAACGAGAAATCGACGACCTTCTCGGATTGTTGAATGGAGTACTGCCAAAAGATGGTACGTTGATTTGTTTTTGATTGTAAGATGTTTAGGTAGACTGCGGAGCGATTCTGCTTACTTGGCCGCTCAACGAGGCCAATTTGATAAGGTGTCAGCTGATCTAGATTCTAAAATATCACGATTACAAGATATAAACGAACGAATGAATGCCTACTTAAGCGAATATGAAAGAAATGGACATTACGACCAATCAATGAGGTCTTTGTACTTTAGACATCGTGAAATGTTCAGATCTTACGTTCAGGAGTTGAGCAGATCTCAAGGTGCTATTTCGAATGAACTTAAACGGTGAGTAATACTAGTTTACAAATGTTTTGCAGGAGCTTTTATGCTTATTTTTACTTTTTCACGTAAGAAATACTTGAAAGCTTTAAATTTGAGGTTTTTACAATAATGTTAGGTATTTAATTTTGTTTTTAGTTCTTTATGAAAAGAAGATTGATTTTTAGGGCAGAACTACTGTGCACATCGTCAACCGCACCTTCAGAAGGCTCAGCGTTGAGTAACCGGGCCAAAACTTCGGATTATTTACTACGGGAGAACGATCGCATTAACAGTTGTGATCGATTACTGGATGATCAGATTAGTATTGCCATAGGTATCAAAGATAGTGTTCAAAATCAGAGACTCAGCATGAATGATATCGGGCGAAAATTGCATCTTCTTGGCAGTGAGTTTGAATATATTTTATTTAATTTTTTAGGTATTAATCGCTGTTAAAGTGACATTTTTAATCTTCATTGTGTAAAAGATTGTTTTAAATAGTAATTTTACATTTTCAGAAAAGTACCCAGCTCTAGGCTCTTTAATGAACAAGATCCGTACTAAGAAACGAAAAGATACGATCATTTTGGCCGTTGTCATCACGACCTGTCTCATATTCATATTCTTCTACTTGAGTCATTGAAATTCGAGTAATGGATGCTTGAGTAATCTCCGGGTAGTTGGGAAGTGTAAATTAAATTTGTATATTATTTAAAAATGTTTTTATAAAACGATTGTGCATGAATTGTATCTTATATGTTGACAACATGAACTTACGTGTCAGTCAACGTAGTTTGAAGTGTTTGTATACATATCAACTGTGATTTTGGATTATTACTTCTTCTTTTGACATTTTATAACCAGTGACCTTATTGCTGTACACAATATCGCTTTGTACAGCTGTAAAGTATGTTTATACGGTGAGTATAATATATTTGTGATTATCGCTACAATTTAAGAGTAAATAAACTATTTATATAACGAAGTAGACATTGAATTTTAAATTGTTACCTCCTTATTCGAATCATATTTGTCTCTTGGTCAGTTATCTTATCAATTGTCTGTGAATTGTCACGTGATGGCTATCTTAATGTTCGATGCTGTCATTAGGTAATGGAATTGAATGTTTGGTCAGATACTTCAACGTTTTTTAATATTTTTTTGTCTTTGAAGTTTAAAAATGTAGAAAATATCAGTTGGCAACAATGATTGAAGACTGTGAGGTCAAAGAAAGTATAACTGGCTGTGTACTTTGGCGTTCCATTTTTGATTGCGAGCGTGAGAACATTTTATGTGAATTTAAGAATTTTGAGTTATGTTTAGGTGGTTTTTTGAATCACTGAATTTTCAAGCTATAAAAATATGAAATAATGTGATATTTTGCCAATTCTGATATTATGCTAAATAATATAAAGGTATGATAGTTTTTCTTTTTTTGACGTAGATGGTTTGACGAATCACTTTCCGTTGCTATATGTTTATATTTGTTGATCTTATATCGTCACAAGCACTGGGTACATCTTGAGATCATCTCGTAATCAACGTGTGAGTAAGAGATGTTCGCCAAAAGTTTATTTATTTTCTGCGCTTCTGATAAGAATCGTTTTCGACTAAAGTATTGGTAACTCCAACATTTACAGATCGGTAAACAGCCTGGTGCTTCACTTTATATTGTCTGGGTAATAACAGTTCTGTATAGTGATTGGTAATGGGACATGGTGGTGAAGTAACTGGCCAAAAGGGAATTAACCATTTCAAGGACGGTGCCATTGACTTATTGGCTGGAACGGCTGGTAACTTTATTGTTATAAGAAATTTTTAAAACTTTATTATATTTACCTACAGAAGTATATCGTTAAAATTTTTGAATATCGTAGTTATGATAATATTTGTTTCAGGTGGTATTGCAAATGTCTATTTTGGCCAACCGTTGGATACTGTAAAAGTTAAAGTGCAAACCTATCCCGATCTCTACAAAAACTGGGTTACCTGCTTTGCTCAAACCTTTAGAACTGATGGTATTAGAGGATTATATGCAGGTAAGTGTCGTTTTATTGTACTTTTTTCTTTATTCTACAGTATGGTTATTCATTTTCTTTTAATTTTTAAATTTAAAATTAGTTTTTACTATCTTTATGACGGTTTATTTTATAACAACGGTTATGGTTTTAGGGACTGTTCCCGCACTAGCGGCAAACATTGCCGAGAACGCTGTATTATTCACGGCATACGGTTTCTGCCAAAAGTCAGTAGCGTATGTTTGTGGAAGGCAATCGACCGACCAGATGACATCAGTGGAGAAGGCTACCTCAGGGTCGTTTGCTGCAGTATTCGCAGCTTTAGTGTTGTGTCCTACTGAGTTGGTCAAGTGCAAGTTACAGGCACACAAAGAGCTTCACCCCGACAGTAAAGCGTACGTTTTCTTATCATAATAGTAGTAATATACAAGTATTTATTCAATATTATAGTTGTTATTTAAAACAATCGCTTACGTTTTTCAGTACCACCCTAACAGTATGCAAAGAGATGTACCGAACCCAAGGGATGCGAGCCTTTGGTACAGGTATGACACCGACGATGGCTCGAGAAGTTCCTGGTTACTTTTTCTTCTTCGGAGCTTATGACACAGCCAGAACTTACTTATCTGACAACGGAAAGAAGGAAATAGGACTGGTTGGTACCGCTGTAAGTGGTGCCATTGGTGGGATGGCTTTGTGGACGGCTATCTTTCCAGCTGATGTGGTTAAGTCGAGAATGCAAGTTACTGGAACTGGGACGTTTGCTTCTACTTTTATGGACGTTTTGAGAACTCAAGGTAGGTGTCTTACATACTTTCTGTATATCTTTCCACATATTGACAACTTTACTTTAATGTCTAAAAATGTAGTATACTGTACCATAATGTACTTTTAGGACCGCTTGGGTTGTACGCCGGCCTAGCACCGACAATATTACGAACGTTCACAGCCAGCGCCGGCCTGTTTATCGCTTATGAATACACAAAGAAGTTTCTACACAGTACTTTCTAACATCTACAGAATCTCACTATATTGTCTACGTCATGGTCCTCAAAGGAACGCCTATTTAGTTTACTATATCATGGTCATTAAAGGAGTAACATATCATCTTAACTTCTATTTATTGTGTTATAAACAAGATTCATGAAGTCTAGGCGACAATCGTTGTCAGCAAAGTTACCCGCATTGTAAAAGTAGCCTCCTACGTGGTCGAAGATACTGTATCCAGTACCGACCGAGTTGGAACAGTCAGGGGCTTCCCGTTTCTTTGAGCAGATCTTAAATTTTGGTTTTATAGGTATTATACAGCAAAGTCAATGTAACATATATATTACAGAAAAGTTACTGTCAAGTAAAAGTTAATTAGAATAAAATCTTACTCTACCCAATTACAATATTCTACCTTACTTTATATTTTGCGTCAGTATGACACCCCTCAGGGTACCAGACTTCTGTCCCATGATGGAAGTAGTGCCGTTTGTGCCTCTTACAGCCAGTTAACATGTCCGGTTGACATGGTGGGATGTGAGCAACCAGATCTTTCTTGTTAACAACTCTGTAAGAGTTAGGAACGAGATAGTCCAAAGTCTTGGCAAACTTGTAGTCCCCAACTCTAGGCTGGCCAAATGTGCGTAATATAACTTGAGAAGATTGTCGTATCCTCTGATCGACAGTATACCCAGCTGACAATGCTGCCAATGCACCTCCTAGGGACATTCCAGAAAATGTCACACTGTACGATGAATACTGTCGATTCTGAAGGACTTTTTGTATTTGCGGCCAAACAGACTGGAAAGATTTGTAGAAGTAGGGATGGACTAAACCATTTAGGAAGTTTACTTGTTGTTTTAGAGTCTGCATTAGTTCATCGATCAATTCAAGGGCTGAAAAATGTTAGAGTGATGTTTTTATAGAACAACATCATTTCAGGACTTTTTAATTTTATATGTATTGCACTTATATGAACATGCATACCTTTAAAATTGCTGTTCATACCTGTATCAGTGCCTTTAAAAGCCACAATAAACTGTTCTGTTCTATCCGACCGTAACACCAGTACCGTACATGTATCAACTAATCCATTACACACCGTCATCTGCAGACAATTGTAAATAATATTAAACCTTTATCTTTAAATTCCAAAGCCAATATTGTCGATGAATCTTTTTTTATTTAGACTTAAAATCGCTTTAATGTCTAAAAATGGGTTTAAACCTACTTCGTGATAAACCTGCTGCCAATCCATATTAGTGTCAGTGTTTAATACATCTATGCACGTACTGGAGTCGTTGGCATAGGCCGCAGAGACCAGTTCCATTAAGAACAGAGCCTCTTTTGGGTCATAAGATACGTTAAGAAGCTTTGTTCTAGCAGAAGGAAGCAGAAACAACAACAATATCGAACATTTTAACATTACAGAAGACGGCATTAAGGTCAGCTGTAGAAGAGTGAAAGGGAGAAAGATAAAAGTGTTATCTTTGAGCGTTGGCGATAATCGCATAAAAACAAACACATAGTCTCCATGACAGATAATAGAGCTAATCGTTGGACTTTACTCATAGAAGAGTTACAAAGACAGTTTACGTCATGTTTTGTTGTGGACTTGGACGCCAAGCATTGTAGTGTCAAGTGTTTTCGCTTATGTCGGTTATGGTTTATGTAATTTTTGTTTTTTGACTTTAAACGACACTTTTCAACATATAATTTTAACTATATTACAAAAACTCAAAAAAATCAAATCAAAAGTACCGTTACAATACTCGTCATCAATTTCACTTTTAAAATTCGCACAGTAACAACCTCACAGTAAAAAGTAATGTGATATGTTCCTACTCAATCAGTAGTAGCTTCTTCACATCGGATCGAAACCCGTCGGTCGATTTCGGGCGCCAAATCCAGTTCGATTCCAGAAAAGCGAAAGGATGGGTAAAAGGAAAGATGAGCAAACGATGAACATCCTTCATGACATTACATAAAAACGATCCGAGCGGTTTCCGGAAGACGCTTCAAGAGTTACGTGAAACAAAAAACACCTGAACCCATCGGTTTATAGTTTGTACCTGAGCGCGTCACAGTCAAACTTTAATCAACTTTTGAAGGCTAGACTCCATACGGTTGCGGTAAAACGTATACCGTATTTTTGTTTTTAAATCCTTTAGTTTAATTTTCAATTTGTTGTATAGCCTACTGTACTCAGCTTAGAAGTCTGCTTTAGCTCATTAATATGCCGAGTGTAAGCCAGTAGTTTAATAATAAAGTTATCAAAAGTAGTATCCCTTTTAAATCAGTGTTTCTTTTGTAAAAACCTGTCTCAATATTGTTCAAAATTCACCTACTATAACATAACCCAAATTCTTAAAAAGCTAATAAAACTACATAACAACCTGTAGATCCCACTATTGTAGCAATATAACTTTTATTTGATTTGGTATACGTTGCGTAGTGAAGATACTGCGAGAACAACAATTATAGAGAAGATCAAGAAGAGCTGGTTTTGGCGCGTTTCTGTTTTCAGAAGTGAAAGTTGAACGTGTTCAGTCGATGATGACAAGCTGATAATTTTGTCATAATTCTTTTTTGCTTCAAGTCTTTATTGTATTTTTTAATTTATAGCTATTGAGCTGCTTTTGTTACGTTTTTGTTATCAATGGGATCTTAAAATTGGGATGACATAATCTTACTGAACTACTGTTAGCCAAAGCTTCAAAATAATGTCGTTTTTTTTTGTTTTTATACCTATTATCTATTTAATTTTAAAATAATTTTTTAATATCAATTTCCTTCTACAGACCGTCTTTCATACTGTATTTTCTTAGCATAACCCATAAATTTAAAAATTTTAAAACTGCCCCACATTTTCAACTGTTTGTCAGGCCCAATTACAAGACGACAACAAATCATGTTTTGTTTCAATTCCAGGAACAAATTATTATTGTTTACGAACCGAAACCGGGTAACCTCCAGTCTCAAGGGCCATTTTTTGTTTTTTCGTATACGTGATCCATCGTTTTTTGTTTGGTGGATGTAGAGACAATGGGGTGATGTTTTTCCACATTTACGATTATTTGTAACACAAGTTGTCAAAAAGTTTCGGATTGGAACCTGCCTTCGAACAGTCTCGACCGTTTCCGAGGAACGACAAAGAACGATAGCATATTGTAAAAGGTTTATGATATTGTTTGTTGTTTTTATGTTTATCTTCCCGATCAGGGCTGATTTTTTATTCCTTAGGGGATATAATAAGAGTGCTTTGTTTGGAAGGTCATAACTCTTCTTTCTCAATATCTTCAGGATAAGAACCTCACAAGTTACAATTGACAATAACGATTTGTAGTTATTTCAAGCAATAATGCGTTTGATAAATAATGTATCATTCAGTTAGGTTATTGTTTCTGTTTGTCCCCTTATTGTTAATATATGTGTTACTTTTTTATACGTTACGTTTGTAATTAATTTGTCATTACCAAATGATCATATTAGCATTGTCATTTGTTTGCCAACGAGTTTCGCGACATTGCACGTGTAATATTTCCGCCACACCAATCGCAAACACAATGTAGGTATCTGGAATGCCATTAAAGCGTCGCAATGCGCTGAAGGACCGGCAACCGAAAGCCCTGAGCAAACAACAACATATCCCTCCCAGCAACAACTCATCCGGTCTCAGTTCGAGCGATTGTCTGAACACGGCGATCTCACTCTCACAGACCATTGCCGAAACTCTGCCGGACAGTACTGTCGACAACGGGTATGATGCTACTCAGCCGGTGAGAACGGTGGGCAGCAAGAAATGGATGTATGTTGTTCTTATCTCCACAGTTATCGTAATCTCTTCGCTACAGATGGGTAAGTTGTGGATATACAGATATACGCTGTTACCAAGTTCTTTTGTACGTTTACGCCTTTGCTCAATAAAAATACTGTATGGAAGTAAAGGCTAGAAACGTGTTTTAACAATATATTTTAGCATCCTCAACAGTGGTTATCAAAAGGTTAACAGCGAAACAGTGTTTGACAAGCCCATGCTTAAACGGCGGAACTTGTACACCAGGAAAGATTGCTTGTGATTGTGCCCCAGGCTGGATGGGCCGCTTCTGTAACCGTAAGCCGTAAAAATGCCAAAACACTTTAAGCTCATTTGTAATTGAATCTAACTTACGATCAGTAGTTCCCAAAAAATGTCCCTCTGTTCAAAACACAATTAACAAAAATGTTGTTAAGCTAAAACTTTAGGTAACTCCTTACTAAAGTCTGCAACATAGTTTTTAGAAGACAATAATCGATATTGATCACATTCTTCCCAACCAATGAATTCTAAAATTACGAAAAAACCTTAATTTTTATGGAAAATCTTAAAACAATAAAAACTTACAGGAAGATGTCGCAATATTTACCAGAGTTGTGACCGGTGGGCATTAGAAGAAAAGTGTGAAGTTGTACGAACACAAACCAACTTCTTTGACATCAACTGTGCAGTCTCATGTGGCATTTGTTCTCCTGATCCAAGTGTTAGTAAGTTGGCATTCTAAATTACAAAGAAACGAATGAATAAGTCCATTATGACGCACAATATGTAAAAACTCTTTAGGCTTACCAAAAATTCCGCTAGCACCAGCCTTAGAGCCCTTACAGTTCATGTTGGGAAGGTGGTATTCAGCTGCTTCCAAAAACTACAGGTTCCCATCAGACATGAAGGGAGACACGTATGAAGAAATCTTGGACATTATGCCAGCAGAAGTCCCTATGTTTGGTGCTCCATCACTCAATCTAACGTATGGTTCAGATTAAAATTAAAAAATAAAAGATGATATTCGTTTTCACCTCAAAACATTTGAAATAAGTTTTAAAACACGCAAAAATTAATAAAACTTTTAAAAATAAGCTTGCCATTACACTGGTTACGTTTACGCTACCATTTCAGGAGCACTTCATGGACTGGCCCAGATCGTCGCATAGTCCAAGGTTTTCTGACGCTAAAACCAAATTCGAACCCTCCAGAAGTCGCCATTCTCAGCACGGCAAACGAAGGGCTAAACATGATTGAATTGGGAAGCATTCAAGGCGGAGCAGCCACTTTCAACATCTCGTACATGCAAGTTCATCCAGGATTGAACAACGTCCAACTACCTTTAGGTGTAGGTCAAATAAAAACCACATTTAAAATAAAAACAAACTGATAAAATAACATTCAAACACAATATAAAACAAAAACTTCCTTCTCTTACAACTACAAACTGTTTAGGCCACAAGAAGGTTCAGACGGCAAGGAGCTCTTCTCGAAATGACAGTGGCCAAACTCTACGCTCAAAACAAAGTTCAACAATTCAAAAAGATGTTCAGAAAGATTTACAATTACCAATATTAGGAGAAACAGAAAATATATATATACATAGTTGTTATGCCATAATCTTGTCATTGCTTTATCTATTTTACAATAAATTTACAAAATTTTGTCTTGTGACACTTCGCTTAAAAGCCGATCATTATGTTAACGGAATGTCTAAAAACAAAATAATTTTGGGAGAAAATTTGCTAATTTGGGAAATGGAGAAGAATTCAGATTCCTTGAAGAATTTAAGTTGATTTTGTTTTGTTATTGTTATGTTTAGAAGCTCGTGATGGAGTTATGTCAAAAGAATCCGGACATTGCTTATGCTGGAGAGAAGGTTGTGCTTATAACTTATGAGGAACGACATGTCAAAACTTACCATGATTGGATGGGAGATGATGATATCAGAGAGAAGACTGGCAGTGAAAGGTTGGACTATGAAACGGAATGTAGACAGAGAATACCATGGAGGAGACACAAAAAACGAGGAACTTTTCTGATCATGGACAGGAAGACTTTCGAAGAAACGGACGGGGATGAGGTAGGTTACGAAGTTTTAAAGGATAATGAAATGTTGGATTATTTTTTTGAAGCTTATGTTTGGCTTTTAGTTTGAATCTTTGTTGGGAGACACAAATTACATCCAATACCCAGATTACATCGAGATATTGGTAATGGTAGCTGAGAAGAAAGGACGTCGTTGTGGTATTGGAACAGAATCGGTTAAACTTATGCTACATCATGTAAATCAGTTTAGACAAGGGAGGATCTTTACGGTTAAGATTAGCTATGATAACATCGAAAGTATCAAATTATTCGAAAAGTTGGGGTTTGAAGTTACAGAAAAAAGTGATGTCTTCAGAGAACTTTCTATGGAATTGCCTGAAAAGACATTGGAAGAAATATTAAAGACAGTTAACGTTGTGTATAAAAATAAGGAACTTATAGACAAACTATATGAGTCTTCCAGAAGCTATGACATTCACGGTGATGATGTGTCTGATAGTGAGAACTGATTATTTATCCAAGTTGTTAAGTTTTTGTTATAAAGTTTATATCTTTTTAATTATGAGATAAAACAAGGTAGTTTATTAATCAGATATTGATTCAGGCTTTCACAGAGAAACGTTCTGTATACTCTTTCCTGATTGGCATGGTTTTTGTGTCAGGAAGTTCACGGTTATGGGCAGTCCAGACTGGAACGCCTTGGAATAGTCTTCTGACATGAATGTAATCCTATAATTAAGAAGAGACAGTAGTTAACATGTGAAAAGATTAGTTAGTAGTTTTGGGGTTAGGTTTTAACGTTTACGACAGAGGTCTTAAGGCAAAAAGGCTTACTTCAGTATCAGGAGAAAAGCGATGGTATGAGCCTGCGGGGATAGTGATCAGGTCTCCAGGTTCACTTTTGATTCGAATCCATCTGTCCTGCAAGCAATGTGGTATAAAAACAAAACACACGGAAAGATGGAATTTTACAGTTTTAATTGTAGTATAACAGAGGGTAAAACTACCTCGTCATCTCTGATGTCAAAGTAGCCGCAGCCATCAATGATGTACCGGATCTCGTCATCCGTATGCAAATGTTCTGTGAAGAATTGTTTGATTTTGTCATCATATTGAGGTAGTTTGTCTTTGGCAATGGTGATTTCGTCGTTGTAAGTGTAGCCACGGGAAACTGCCAGTGGTTCTAATTCAGTTTTGTAATTGGCTGGGTCTAACTAAAAACAATGTTTGAAATTTGTCAGAAACTACGAATAAATGATAAGTTTAGGTAATAAAAGTTGGTAAAGTATAGAGTTAGCTCCATCTATAACTTCAAAAGCTTACATAATCAACAAGAGCTCCAATTTGCTTCAGTTTTTCGATTGAAACAGATTCTGGAGGATCCAGTTGACACTCCTGTCTAGAATCATCTGGATTTGGTTGCATATACCAAGCCTGAACCATTTTTAGCAAAGTGAAGTCAACTCTAAAGTAAGAAAACTGAAAATTAAATTTTAAAAAGATTTTCCCTTGAGCAAATAAAAGAACTTTTGTGATAAAGTTGATTGCGCTGAAAGTTCAATCAATAAACAATTGATTTTGTTTGTAATTGATGTTTGTCTTGTTTTTGAAAGGTAGTACGTAATTAAAGTTTGAAAAGTTAAAATAATTATGTATAAAGAAATGACAAATTTAAACTAACTTACAATAATCTAAAAAGCCTAAAAACAAAATGATAATTACATAAATTTTTTATCAATTCGAAAACAGTTGATTTTTGAGATTTTTCAACTTTTTTTGAATTTATTTTGATTATAATCGAAATCATAATGATGTAATGCAAAGAATGTTGCAACGGAATTCTTTCCAATGGACGGATATTGTAATAGGAAGAGAGTTGCAGCTCTGGGCTTTCTGTTTTAAAGTGTTTTGATAAATATAGTAACTATTAGATTATGTTATAGTCAAGTGGTTTATAATAGCTCTAACATGGTAATCATACTTTTTTAGTAGCTCTTAAGCAATTTTTAAAATTTTAAAGAATTTTTGGAAATTTTGAAAAACGTTTTGTAGGTATAGGAGGCTTAGAGGGTTTTCTTTACTGCACGATTTTTAAAGATATAAAGTTTTAATTTTTAAAAGTGCGTATGTTTTGTGCTGTTTTGAGCGAGTTACCATAAATACCAACGTATGTTTACAATATTATCACTTCTTTGGGAAATTTGATCGCCATTATAAACACAGCTAATCAGGCCGCCGGTCTCGATTTCGCAATTTTTTAACGAAATTGGACAAGAATCCTCCCACGAATTTAAATACGATGTGGGCGGTGGTCAAGTGGTTTGATTCCATTATCATGTTCTTCACATAATTAGCTTGGTTCCTTGTTTTTCAGCGAGCTGGACTAGTGGCGGATGGGGTGAACATTATAATCGAGGGAAGTGCGCGGTTAATTTTGTAATCTTGTACATGACGTTTGTCAATTTGGTTGGTATATAAGGGGTAGGCTTTGATGGAGCTAACTTTCTTGTGCTTTAGGTTGATTTGTTTTAAAGAGGAGTAATTTAGGGAGTTTTACAGTGTTAATTTCTTTTGAATTTCAAATTTTGGCTTTTTGTTGCAAAAATTTTTTAAATATTCTAATTTAATATTTTAAGTTTAACTAAGCATAGGAATTTCTATAATATTATGGACAGGATTTTCAATGATTTTTTAAAAAAATATCTTAAAATTTGTTTATAAGGGCCAAATTTGAATATTTTAATGTTTGCGACCATGCATAAATCTCACGTATTTTACAAAAAATTTTTCAAGGGCGACAACAACACATTGTTTCAGTGTGTCATAAAAGCATAAATTAGTGAGTCATCAAGTCGAGAGAACAGACCAACTAAAAGTAGAATTTATTTCGAGTACTGAAGTTGACCTTTTAATGGTGAGCTCAAAGTGAACTGGGTCATTAAGAAGAAGGATCTGTTCGAGAGGGTCAAGAAAACAATTGGCATTGCTTCCTAGACAGATAACAGGGATGATTCTCAGGATAAAATTCTTTTTGACAATATTCTACTTGGGCGGGTGTGACGCTTTTGTCAATCCTGTTTGTAAGTGGGGGGGGGGGTTTTTTTTAAATTTTAATTTAAATATTGAAAAATTTTTTAAATAAAAAAAATGAAAAGTGTTATAGTGTTATATTTTTTTTTAATTATATTGTTTTAGTTAACCGAACGATAAAACCGACAGGAGAGTACTTTACCACTCATATCTTGGCACACTTCCACAACTTTGATAACTGGTACTACAAGGAGAACAAGACCTTCCGTGACATATATGAAGAAGAGACGAATCAAACGCTACTGGAAGAAGATGCTCAACCTTTCTTTGATCGTATCTTCAAGGGACTAAAGGATGCGGCTCCTGAACTTCGGTCTTTCAAACTTCACGTAAACAACATGGTCTTTGACAGATATGTCAACTCTACAGACGAAGATGAGGTCAGTTTTGATAGGGTTTATAAGTGCATTTTAAAAAAATATTATTTTTTAACTATAAAGTTATATCATAGTATCTTACATGGTAAACTCAAAATATTTAGCATTCTTATTGTTTACTATCAAATAGGTACCAATAGTTTCACATTACAGGTAATAGCCAAGCTCCGAGCCATCCAACAGTTGTTCAGAGACCATATCACGACCATTGTGACATGTGCAAACCGTTACAACCTGCACATCGAAGCATATGACACATACGCACGTGTTATGTCAGCATGTGAAGAAGGTAACAATTCAGCTGGTTGTAGAAGCCGTGTTGTGTTGGACAAGGCTTTCCCAGATCATGAATGGCATGATGACGATTACAGGATAGATACGATGCAGAGAATTGGAAATACGAAGGGTATTATACAAATGATCTACCATGGTGGAGATATACCGCTGGATGTTGGGAATCATATTACTGGGGACAGTAAGTACTGTAGTTACAGATGTAACTTTTAATGTTTTAAATTTATAGTAGATTTTACTGTTTTTTTTCACGTTGTAAAGACATACGATCTATGATTATTTCAAGATACCATTAACATCATTTAGAAATTCATAAAACTAGGTTTATCAAGATTAATATTTGAATATGATTATACCTCATCCGGTTACCAATAATCGCTTTTTGTGTGTTTTGTGACTTCATAGGAAAACAGCGTTATAGACTTGGCTTTGTCGTTGGTTTTACATTAATCTTAAGCATATTTGACTGCTTTTAGCTGTAAACCATCTTCTACCCACTGGCATGGCATTAACTTGTGATGAGCTTCAAGGCAAAGAACGCCACATGGGCACTCACGTCGACCGCAAGGTCTACGCTGAGGCTTTGAACAAGCTGAAAGAAGATGTAAACAGCTTACAGTCGTTTACTCTGGTATGCGAGCGTACTGTGGATTTGAATGAAACTTCGGAATTCGAAGTGAGTTAATGAATATTGATAGGCTGCTTAAGGTTAAAGAATATTAACCTTTGGGCAACAAAACACATTTTTTAATTATACATGTTACCTAAAATCATATATAATACTATAATAACACAAAATGTACCTAAACTCTTAAGAATATCCAAGAAATGAGAGCAGCAGCAGCCAAGGTAGACACAGAGATCAAGTCGATCATTGACGAAGCTCTCAAGGTGGGTGTTCATATTGAACACATCTACGAGCACATCAACTTCTTCACCCCAGGCTGTGCTGAAGAGATGCTGGTACCACGCTGTAGCCGAGAACAACAGTTACCAAAGGCTTTTCCTGACATACCATTTGACAATACATTGTTTGTGAAAGTGTTCAAAAGAGACGTCTTCAACAATATTCAGCGACATCTGAGAATATTGTAATGTACATTGTAGATACTGTTAATAAATAATCTATTTTTTTAATTAAAAGTTATGTTTTAAAGGTATGATAACACTTTCAGAGCTAATGTTACTAATCTGACTCCACATAGTTACAGTAAGTTTAAACCTTAACTTTGTTAGCAATTTCAGACAACCTTTGTACTCAAATTGCCTACGCATACTCACTTGTCATTTGGTCGTAATTCTATTGAACATTTACACACTTTGACAAAGACTAATCGGCTTATGGTACACTTAATGAAATTGTTTTAGCCGACAACTTAATTCAATTGACAACGGCATTTTATTAGAGTAATTGATATGTAGACGTCTTATACTGAAGTAATTGGGTATTTCAAGGTCTGGTATGTAAATGTCGTATGATAGATGTGTAATTGTCTCATAGTATGTATGTAAATGTGTCACATCTACTATAAGACAAGTATTAAAAGAAAGTCATATGTTATACTATGTATGTAAAGGTCAAATGTCATTTATTTAAATATATTATAACAGATATGCAAATGACAGTCTAGCGAGGATGAACAAAGTCTAGGAAGTTGGCCAGCACTTGCATGACAATTCGATTATCGATCGGTTTCTTCACTATCTCTTGGAAGGTGGCTATGTTAATGTTATAGCCTTGACTTTCTTCGTTCAATATTACGGTTGGGGTAGGAGTGATGTCCATATTATCTTTGGGGGAAATGGAGACAATACCATCAAGATTTACATCTTTTACAACATTAGTAATGTCAGACTTGTACTTGTCGCTAGGTGATTCTAACATTACTATAGCGTTTGTAGAGTTAAAAGATGGTAGTATGTTATGAGCGTCATTGTAAGTGACAAAATAACAAAAATGGCCTGAGGCTGCTATTTGTTGAATGATACTAGGTCTGCCGTTGAAGTAGTTGTTGTCCATTAAATCATGAAGAACCAGTACGTTACCTCTTCTTTTGATTAGAAACGGCGGTTCTGCGTAAAAATACCTAAACTGACACTTAAAATAGTTAGTTAGATTTCTAAAATATTTTTAACTTTAAACTTGTTTTTATTAAACAATACGCATTATATATAAATATACCATCAAATCTTCAACTATAATATAATTTATGACCTACGTAGCGCCATTCGCCCTCCTCTCCTCGACCTTGACGTGAACGGCATTGGCCGGAATGTAGAGATTGAGCGGCCGTTTTGTGAAATTAAAATTTTGAATAGTAACGGGTAATTGCTCTTTCTTGACAGTTTTACTATGCCCGCTCCACAGATGACAAAGAACACAAACAGCTAGAAAGACCTGCATCTTGGGTTAGTCTAGGCGCCACAATGTTGTTTTAAGAATTTGGATTCTAGATGTGTGTCAGATAATCCACAGAGGGGGGGGTAGACAATGAAAGTTTAAAGATTGGTTGATTTATTATTTTAAATAATATTGTTGTAGACATTGTGTTCTAATACAATCATAGACAAAAAATGTTATAATATCAACAAAGTTACTTTGTAATGTTATTGTTACTACGGTTAACTTTGATATATACATGCTTTTTGCTATTTTAACTACAGTATGCCACTCGTAATGTATCTTTGACTCAAAAACCTTGTCAATAGTGGTGATGAAACTTGTATTTTGTGAAGTAGTGTCATGTGTTTGTCTGTAAACCATCCTCTTTCTCAAAATCCTTCTGAAACCCCAATTGTATTGTTTTTGTACAATTAACTAAACAATGGCAGTTTCCTCAAATTGTCATATAGCAACATCACAAGACCACCTTTGTATGATATGTTATAGTATTGATGACATTACACTACGTAGTAACGGGCATTTTGTATTGAAAGAGTATCACAATAAAATATGCAATTACAGTTTCAGCAGTTGAGGGGGCTTTAAATGGCATATTAAAATAAAAATTGAAGTAAGTTTAGGGCAGACAAATTTAAAGTTAGAAAAAGAACTGCATGTTAATTTAGAAGACAGAATACAATAGTATTGCCAAAATAGAAAAACATTAAAATTGCAAAATCAGATATGCTAAAAAAGGTTCTCTTTTCATGTTGTAAAATATCACAAGTTTTTTGAAAGTTTTGTAATTGGATGCTAACATACATCTTTCATTGTATAACAGATCAAGTGCGCCCTACTTACTCTTGTGATCTCATTAGCATTTCCTCGAGTCCTCGATCAAAATGCTTGTAAAGGGTTGCTGTCTATTGATGTTGGACTAGCTTCTTGACCCGCGCGTTGCTAAAATACTTTTTTTGGCTATGTCGTATTTTTTAAAAAAGCTTTTTAAAATTTTATTTTCTTTTTTGATTGAATAGTTTAGCTGATTTACCATTTTTATTACTATTTTAAGTTACTTTATTTTTTACAGGCAATTCTCTTTAGTATGACACTCAAGAGACCAAATCAAAGTGTCAGTATGAGTAAATTGTTATACTGTTTAGCTATTTTTTTGATAGGGTTAGTATTAAAAATGACGGCTTGAATGCTAGTATGATAAGGAGGTTTTACTAACATATTAAACCTGTTTTACTGAATCTGTTTCTTTGACTATCGAAATACTACGAAATTTTTATTAGACCAATCTAAGATTCTAGCTTTTGGGGCATTAGAATCAGTATATTTCCTTTGAAATTGACCTCAAAAGGTTAAGTTGAGGTTAATCTTAAAAGCCTTTGTTCAGTACATGTCAGCGTTTAGATGAGGTCAAGAGCTAACATTAGAGTTTAATTTTTAAAACGTTGGAATAACTATAGAATGCCGACTTTAAAATTTTGCATTTTTGTTTAATTTAAATTTGTAAATAATAATTTTTGGTTTATTATTTAGATCTTTCTGTAGAGAACATTAAAACCTGTAATAATACAATACCACGGATTCGAAAGTTCTAGACAAATCCAACGCTTTTAGTCTGTGATTGAACTACAAATTATTTAAGGCATGCCACATATGTTTGTTGACATTCAAGGTAACTGTAATCGCATGTTAACTATCACAAATGCGACCGGAAAGTATATTTCTGCAATCAGTCTGTCATAACACTGCCATTGTAACCAACACTACAAACAGGATTGTAACTGACAATCTGACCGGCTTTGTTACTGAGACTGTAAACAGGGTTTGATACATTGTTAAATACTGTAATCATGGCTTAACAGAACTAAGTGTTATGGTTTCTGTAGTATTGTTGTGTTTAAAGCTGTATTTTGGTGGTTTATGATGTTTAAAAGCTTTATTTATAGGATGTTCTTCCCCCTTCTTTACCCTCAGGACATTCTTGATAAGATGTTCAAACAAAGTAGCATTGAATGCCATTAATAACTATTGTGAGACTTGTTATTTGTTTATGTTAATATATTTTGCTTTGAAATATGTTGCAGCAAAGTGGGGGTGTATTTACAAGTTTCTTTACAATTTTAAACCAATTTAAAATACAATTTTGGTGGGTAAACACATTAAACATTCACACTTTTTGTTTATAGAACAGTCGGTGTGACTTACAGTAAGATAAGAAAAGCATGGTTATGGCAGCAATGGCTTAAGTGGCTTGTTGTGTTAACGCTTGGATGTTTTGAAAAACTTTTGTAGTAACTTTTGCTATCTTGAAGGATAGTTGAAGAATAATTGTACTTTAGAAGAAGTCCTTTAGAAGACATTAGAAGAGTTAGAAGGAGTTGATGACTCTTGTCATATGTTGTGTACGTTGTGATATGGCCAAAATCATCAAATAGAATGACAGCTTAATGTAATGCAAGAGAGGAGGCGGTGGGGCAATGTTAGAGAAAGGTTCTGTCTAAATATCGCCATTTAGCAGTTTTTGAAAACAGTTTTCCTTGTAACTTTTTATGATTTTATATATATATAGGTTTCGTTCGAAAAGTCGAGTGATATTTGGGGACATTTGTTAGAATCAGCTCACAATTTTTATATCAATGCTCTGCACCATCTGTAGTACATATAAAAAATTTTAGCTCGAACTTTTGAGTATTACTATTTGAATTATTTTGGTTTTCTGCTAATTTGGCAACTTTGGCATTGTGTTTCAAGTACTTTTTTCAAATTTTCAGACAAGCTACGCTTACAAATTAAAAAATGTTCATTTAGAGTTTTTCTACTGGTATATCAAAGAAAAATGATTAAAGGTCAAAAAATGACAAAATCATAAGCTTGAAACACAATGCCAATTTGGCGGGAAAATTCAACGTAATTTTTTGATCTTGATTTACTCTAGATTTCCTAAAAGACGTGCTTTAAGTATTTGGCTGAAGATCTCCTATTTACATGATCTTTCTATATATGTATATGTAAAAAGTTCGAAGTCAAACAGAACGGGCACTTTTCTTGTTAGTGTTGTCTCAACACAATTATAATTGGTAAGTACAGTAGCCTGTTTTTGTTTACTCAAGCCTATTATACTATAACATGGTTGTCTGGTAGAGGATGTTTTTAGTCTTTCATTGCCCTAGACTAGTACTATTCTTTGTCAGCAATTCCAAAAGTAAATATACAAATGTCATAACAAGGCAAAATTGCACATAACTTTATTCATATGTCATTATCCTTGTATATATACCTCGTACCCGTAAAGACGTGGGTTTTTTAATATTTATTAGGTTTATATGTTTTATAAGATTTTGCATTTTACTATGGTAACTCATTATGTACCACTGTTAAACACATGTCACAACAGATTACTTTACATTTCATTACAATACTCGAATGTCATTGTCCATGATGTATTGTAATTAAAATGCAAAATTGTTACAGCGTGTGTATATGTTGTTACCAGATGACATTCCATGATGTCGGAATGACAAGTCTAAAATAGTTTGATTACTTTGCGGTACAAAAGAGGAAATACGCAAGTGGCATAATGTAGTTGTAGCTATTATTGTAGTAGTTGATTGTTGATTAGTTTACTGCGAAGAAACATCGTCATTTGATGACATTTGCCCAACTGAGAATGACAGTTTCTATAGGTTTCAATCAAAGTTGTTGAGGTACGAGTAAAGGTTAAGTTAACATAATAATATGTAATTTCACCTTTAAGTGTTAGGTTGAGAAATGTGTGAGTAAAATTTTAATACTTACTTAGTATTTTAAGGTAATTTTTGGCTGTTTTAAGAGGTTGCTGTACCTGGTTTAAGAGTTCATTTATGTTTTGACATAATTCAAGATTTTGGTGTAAAAAGTAGTGTGGGGGGGGAGAGTGGGAGATAATCTTGCATTGAATGGGGTTTAAAAAATTTAAATTTAAAAATAAAAAAAAATTTTTTGCAAAAAAAATAATTTCTCTTTTTCCTTACCCTTATAAGTAATACAGTATGTTATATAAAGCTATGATTAATGTTAATATAATCCCCCAAATCCTAATAATATCTTGTATAAATAAACCTGTTTTGAATAATATACTGGTGTATAGAAAGCCGCTAATCCAGGCTGCATAATCATATTATGACATTAAAGTTTAAAAATCTTTTACTTCGTGACCTTGTTGTTTACGTCTCGTTTAGTTAAGCTGATATTGTACATGTCTGATAACGGCTTCGTACAACAATTGAGTATTGTTAAGCCTCTTAGCAGAAAGCGTTTGTTACCTATTTATGTACTTTATGGTTGTTGACACACTTAATATTGTGTATGAAACAAACGATACGTTGGCAGGGTTCTTTAGATACTGTATGTTATATATAGTCTCTATAGTAAATACTGATGACATGTGTTGGCATTAAAACGGTTTGCAACCAAAATATGATGCTATTTTGTAGTCAAACAGTATCTTACTCAGCTGTAAAGGTTTTAATTTGTATAGTAGTGTAATATCAGTATGTCAGCTGTATATGTTATTGTATCTGTTATTCACAACCCTGTACAACTATCAATTTAAGACTACAACTGAGTGACAATCTAAACTTAGAAAGAGTAAAGATTCACGATTTCTACATTACAATTGTCTTAACATTGTTTTAATAGTTTTTTCACCGAGATCGTATACAAATCTACTTCACAGTAAACCGTTTTACACCCAGTTATGGTAGTTTAAAACATGAACGCATAAAAAGTAAAAGTGATTTTTAGTAGTAGTCACGCCACGACTCAGCATGACAGCCGTTGTAATGAGTTATGTTGCATGTGATATAAAAAGTACGGTCGACTTGGCGGATTTATTGACCAAAAACTATTTTTTACAATCCAAATTTGCTTAAACTGGCAGTGCTGTAACGCCAGTCACTCAGCACAGATTGTTGCAAGATACGAATGTTACAATGTGTTGATGCGGATTGTCATATAAAGTTAATTGA